CATCTTTTCTATGTGTTCCTATGTGTCACATGATCACAAGTCACACGTACAAATCATATGTGACCTTTTCTGAACAACAGTTTAAGTGCAGTTAGTCTGTATGTGCACGAGGCCCAGAATATTTATGTTTACTACTCATTTGGGTTGCCAGATTGTGAGGTGAAATGCAGCTGGTTTTGGCTCCATCTTGTTGTTGTTATTTTTTTTTTTACTTTTAACTTTCGCTTTTACACATTGATTTAAATGAAAGCAGATGCACAAATAAGTACCAACATTGGGGCCAAGACTCCAATAAAAAGAGTTTCAGCGAGCAGAAAAACGGGACTTTCCTGGTAAGATAAATGTAAAAAAGCAAAAGCTGGGCTCTAATTGTTATGACTTTAATAGACCAGTATTTTTTCACATCACACACAGTCGCTTTAACAAACAGAATCAATGTGTTCTTTTTCAAACCAAAAATTATTATAGGAAACAGGAGAGAAAAAAAATTACAGCTAAAGCTACACTGCAAAACAAGGCAAAAATAAATTAATGCTTGAATCGAGTGAATTTGAACACAGATTTTCCAATGGGACAAAGCCCTTTAGTCTTATTTCAAGAACTGTTTTGTTATTTTCTCATTCCAAGGGACACATTTTTAAACCTTTTTAAAACATTTGCAAATCTTGTTTTAAGGCAGTCAAAATGTGCTCAAATTAAGATACATTTAACCAAAATTGACTTATTTTTCATCACTTTTTGCAGTGTAAAACATGCAGGACATATATAGTGCAATTACTTAGACAAACATACACAAATAATTCCCTTTTTTCCATGAACCTCCACATGAGCTAATGTTGTGTCTTGTTCTGTGGCTGTGGTAGGAGGCTTCTTACCTCCGCGCTTCGCCCAGACAGAGCTGAACAAGAGAAGCATTGTGTACGTCATTAACCCCGACATGGAGTCTCTGTCGGACAGCCTGGAGTTCACAGTGTCTGATCCTCTGGGGAACACTGGGCCCTCTCACACGTAAGACCACGAGCCGTGACCTGCTTCCTATAATGTGATTAAACGTGTGACGGGGCTGGACCTTGTGTTTGGCAGGCTGCGTCTGAGCTGGGCCCGGCTGGAGCTCTGCGAGACCAGACTCTCTGTGTGCGAGAAGCAAGGGACTGTTTCTGTGGACATAGAGAGAAAGGGGAACCTGGCGGAGTCCTCATATGTCACTGTCAAGGTGCAAAACAGTTAAAATAGTAGAACAAAAATACAGTAAAAACTGGGGTACCTAACTTTCAAACCACAAAAAAAAAAGTTTTAATAAATGCATTGGTTTAATATAGCACTTTTTGGACACTCAAAGTCACTTCACATGTCATTATTCATTCACTCCATACATGGTAATAAACTTCTACTGTAGCCACAGCTGCCCTGGGGCACACTGATAGAAGCGAGACAACCAGTATGTGCCATCAGGTTCTCTGAACACCACCAACCATTCACACACACACGCACGCACGCACGCACGCACGCACGCACGCACGCACGCACGCACGCACGCACGCACGCACGCACGCACGCACGCACGCACGCACGCACGCACGCACGCACGCACGCACGCACGCACGCACGCACGCACGCACGCACGCACGCACGCACGCACGCACGCACACACACACACACACACACACACACACACACACACACACACACACACACACACACACACACACACGGTTGAAGTATCTTGCCTAAGGACACAATGGCAGTTTGACATTATACCACTGTGGCTCCTGGTGTTTCCAGGGGTACAATACAATACAATACAATTTATTCTTGTATAGCCCTAAATCACAACAAAAGTCTCATCTCAGGAACAAAACCATTGAAATCACCAACACAGATCAGAAAATCAACAGTTAAAACACAAAAAGAATATAGAACATATGTTTAAAAAAAAAAAAAAAAAAAATACATACATGTTGTAGAATGTTAAAGTGTCCTGGATCATCACCACATCCTTTTTGTTGGACACTAAATGTCCAACAAACCCTCCTGCATCGGCAAGGAAAAACTCATAAGAAAAACCCAGTGGGAAAAAAGTGAGAAACCTCGGGGAGACCCACAGCTTTAAAACAACTTAGTGTATACATGTATATGTTCTAACTTTTCTTTGATGTGAAGGTGAAAGATGTGACAGCCACCACTGGGACGGATTTCGTTGTGAACCCGTCTTCTCTTGTTCAGTTTGACCCCGGTAGGTAGCGTGCGGAAGAAACTAGATACAAATTAAATAAAGTCTAAAAAGGACAAAAAATCAAATAACAGCGGTACAACAACAAGCTCTAGGAACATTTTGATTAGACAATAAATAATCCACCCACAGGTGTCTCAAAGAGGAGCTGGCAGATTAAGATAGTCCAGGATCTTCTTGAGGAGTCCGAGGAGGTCTTTGAGGTGCAGCTCGTGGCTCCGGAGGCTTCGGTCATCGGCAGAAGTGACCGAGCTGAGATCACCATCAGAGACGCAGGCAGAGGTAGGTCTTCAAGATTCAACTCAATACATCTCTAACATTAACAGCAAAAAGGTCCTAGGTTAGATTTCCACTTCCAGGCCTTTCTGTATGGGCTTTGTATGTTTTACCTATGTTTACAAAGGTTTCCTCCAGGTGCTCTGGTTTCTCTTACCTTAAAAAACATGTACAATAGTCCAACATAACACTCTCTCTCTCTCTGTTTCTCTCTCTCTCTCTCTCGGGCCAGGACTCCCCTGAATCTATTTAAATAGAAGTTATGTATTCAATTTTTTCAAATCCTGTTTAATTTTATATACATGTCTGGGAACGTTCGCACATCTATTCCAATGTGGTTTTACTGCAAATGGTAAATAAAATTACTCTGAATCTGAATTAATTGTATTTTTTATAATCTATATATGTAAAGTAGTCTCTCCCCTTGGCATAACCACTACCAGTAATATTTGCTGGAGGAGACTCGTTCAACCAGTGGATTTTTTGGATTTCAGGATTTGAATTATTTGCGTCCAATCAGAGCGCAGTGGGGGCGGGTCTAACTGGCGCTTGCATTTGATAAACATCTTTCCATGTAAAACATGTTTTTGAAAGTTACTGACTTTCTCTTTAATTTTGTTAAAATATGGCCAAAAGTGGTACTGCATTCTCTTCCACTCTCCCTGACTCCCTGACTTTACCAGTGAGATTAGCTCGATGCAGTGACTTCTGGCAACCCAGATCAGACTTTCTGATTGGTAAAACAGTGGAGGAAGGGACATCAAAATGAAAACAATAACAAGATTTATGGGCTGTAAAACTAATTTTGAAATTTGAATCTCTCTGAATTACTGTTCTCAGTTAAAGAAGTATTGGAAAAGATCATGTTTTACTAATGCCTTTTGACAGATTAGGGCCCTTTAATGATGACTTGACATGAAAAGCTTACATATTCCTACTTTAAATGTTGTTCTGAACGACCAGGATGCGCGGCAGGACACCCCCACGAAGCTCCGGTTCTGGGCGGGAGCGAAGTGGGGTCCAAGCCGTACCCAGAACATGGAACCATCACGGTGGAGAAGTTACCCCTGGATCCGGACCCTGTGGTCTGGACTCGCGGAGACAGCCTCAGGAAACCAGAGTCTATTCAGCACCAGAAGAAAATCCGAGTGATGGGGAGTCCTAAATCTGTAAGAGACGCCCCCAACATTGTAAAAAAAAAAATAAAAAAAAAAAAATATATATATATATATATATATATATATATATATATATATATATATAATATATGTGTGTGTGTGTGAAATGATGTGTTTTGTTGTGATTTTCAGATCGCACCTTCCTCTGTGTTTCACAACGGGACAGATACAGTTTTTACAGTAAGAAAACAGAATTCTATCATAATAACTACATATTTACAAGCTTGAATATTATACATCTATTGTTGTGGCTCCATTTGGATGTGAAAGCCACATCCTGACAAATCTGAGGCTAAGCAGGGCAGGGCCTGGTTAGTACTGTGATGGGAGACCTCTGGGAACACCAGGAGCCACAGTGGGGCGGCTGTAAAGTGCCAACCTGTTGTTGTGTCCTTAGGCAAGACACTTCACCCACATTGCCTAGAATGAGTCTGGTGTGTGTGTTTGAATGGTTGGTTGTGGTAAGGGAGGCCAATGACACAGACTGGTTGGTTTGCTTATGTCAAATAGTGTGTGTTTGACTTGTTGAAGTTTTGTAAATAAAGAGAATTAAAGAAAAACAGAGAATTTGAGGGAACAAAAACCTATTGTATCAAAATTAACCAATGCTTTTATTTTATGTTCCTCTAGTATCACGGCATCATGACAATGCGAGTGGAAGACGACTCCGCCCCATCGAGAAAAGGCAGAAAAGCAAATGTCCAGGTTCTGAACCAGAGACCGAAGCAACAAGCCCAGACCAAGACCTCGAAGACCAGTGTTCAAAGGAAGAGCAGCGGTCAGGTCAAAACAGTCAAACCAGTGCGTACTAAAACCTATAATTGGCAAATCTAGCAGAAGATATACTAAGTTACCATCACAGTAGCCTAGGTTTAGGTACTGTTGTATTTTGCCCTGTTTCCACCAACCCTCTATTGCTCTATTCTACTCCACTCGGCTCTGCTCTACCCTGATTGAACCCGTTTCCACCAGCGTTTTGGTACCTGCTTGGCCTAGTTTCTACCCAGGCAGAGCTGGTACAAACCTGGCAATCCAATCCACTTTATTTATATTGCACATTTTTAAAACAAGTTTCCAAAGTACTGACAGCGATTGGCCAGAGTGCTGCTTGGAATCCATGGTTACTAAAGCGTAATGGAAACACAACCAGGTCGAGTAGAACCGAGTTGAATAGGGTCAAGTAGGGCTGGTGGAAACGGGGCTTTTGTCTTTGGTTCCAGGCTGAATCTGAGGCCGTGGTCCCGAAGCGGTGTGAGCCAGAGCTGATGGGGCTCTTACACTTCAACCAGAGCACGGGGCAGATGTATCACTGCAACGGCGTGTCCTGGAAACCCTGGGCTCCTTCGGAAACGGTACCAAATTCTTAGGTTCTCTCAGTTCAGTTCAGGAGGATCAGGATAACTTATCAGATGGAACTTATTTTAGCTCATCTTAGCTTCTTCTCCGTGATGGTATCGTTTTGCCGACAATGCCTGTTATTGTGGACCTCTTTCTAACAATAAAAGACAATGGTCTCCTGTTTATTGCCGGGTTTACGTTCTAAAAATAACCCGCAATAGGAGCAAAATACTTGAAGTAGCAGCTCTTTGTTTTAAGGCTGTAAAACCCCTCACCATATGAATCAAAATGGACATTATACACAATTATATTTATTTATTTATGTATGTGTTTATTTGAATCAGACAGTGCACCATAATCAACAGATGCCCATATAAATATTCCTGATTCAGTCACAAAGGCTAGTTTGTGTAGTCCCACGGCAGGTTGAGGTTACAGCCATCCACAAACCAACAGAGCAACAGTTATTGACTGCCAGGCATTTTTGATTAATTCACTGATTTTCAAGACTCACAGAATATTACGTGCTATGACTATGTGTAATATTAAACCAGATTCTGAAAGACTGGACTGTCTAGTTTCATCAGCAAAAATAACTTGGTTTCTTGCCAGTTTTGTTCTCCCGTAATCCCCAGTCGAATAGAGGGAAGTGTGACAGAAATCTCCAGTCTCAGACAAATACGTCAATGGCAGTCAATGAGTTAATAGCCACATACAAACATAAAAAGCAAATTAGTAAAACCAATATAAAAAACCATAGCACAGGACATTAAAACTCAGAATAGCTTTAAACCAGTCGTGACTGTTTTAACAATCTGCATTGTCGGCCCCTGAACAAGTCCATTGATCTAAAATGTCCCTGATACTATAATATTCCACCTTCTCTCAGTATAAAATATTTGTAAATGTTTGTTCTGGTTCAGATGGTGAATGCTCAAAAGTGCAGAAGAGGATGGAGGTTTCACGGCGGACACTGTTACATGAACTCGGAGCAGAAAGCCACATGGTCCACTGCTAACAGAGCCTGCAAAGAGAGGTGCGACTACACACTGTTGTGGCCACAGCAACACAAAACTACACTTTATTCATTTTCAATTATTATCATTTAGATACAAGGGAACGCTAGCAAGTGTGCTCTCCAAGGCGGACATGGATTGGCTGTGGGATTTCAGTGGACGTAAGCCCTTTTGGATAGGTAAGACTTTACATTCATTTTGTATTGCATCTACTGTACTTTCTGGACTATAAGCTGCACCTGTATATAAGACGCACCTGTATATAAGCTGCACCTGTATATAAGACACCTGTATATAAGCTGCACCTGAATATAAGACACCTGTATATAAACTGCACCTGTATATAAGCTGCACTTGTATATAAGACGCTCCTGTATATAAACTACACCTGTATATAAGGCACATCTATATATAAGCTGCCCCTATATATAAGACGCACCTGTATAAAAGCCGCACCTGTATATAATAAAAAAAACACACCAGCTATTCACATAAGCCGCACTTGAATAAAAGCCGCATGTTTTCATTTTCTAATATAGCAGATTACTTGTTAATTACTTCTAGAGCTATACATTTTATACTTGCTTCCTTAGCAAGAGATTTTGTTCTATTTTTCTTTTTAGTATCGAGTTTATACTTCATGTATCTTGTGTTGTGTGCTTCTCTGCAATCGGCGATGCAACTCAGGAATTTCCCCAATGTGAGACGAGCATCTTAACCGTTAGCTTTCATGACTCATTCAACTTCCTCTATTTTGACCATTAACAAGTATTAATCAATGGTAAATAACTAAATTAATGTGAGTCTGCAAGTTTTTACTTCTCTCCTGACAATTTTTAAATAGAAAAACATTTGTAAAAATACATATTGACACTGTAAATATAGTAAACTAGGGCAAATACTGTTGCTTGATTATTTATCTATGTAAATGTATTTGCACAGTATGCTGTAAGTACAATAGATAACATAACAATGTACAAAAGTATCTCCATAAACTAAGGAATGTAAATATTGTAAATACTTATGAATGTAACATTTCTGCTTGATCGATAAAAATGATAATAATAAGAAACACATTTTAGGCGCATTGCTATATAAGCCGCATGGCTATATAAGCCGCACATAGGCTTAAATAGCCATCCATTTTCTTCCCCTTAATCCATTTCTGGGTCGGTTGGGTGGCAAGTTCCCAGTACACATAGCACCAGCCCCTCACTGATCCTCCTGCAGGTGGTGAGTCCACAGGAGCTGAGATCTTTCAGCGGGAGCTTCGGGCAAAGTGGGGTTAAGTGTCTTGCCCAAGGACACAACGACAGCAGACATCAGTGGGAGTAGTGAAGTAGGTCTAATGGTGGGTTCGAACCCACGACCTTCAGGCTCAAAGGCCAATGCTCTACCAACTGAGCTACTGTCGCCCTTAGGCTTAAATAACGAAGTTGTTATATAAGCTTCATCATTATAATAGATGCACCGTTATTTTCTCAAAAATGTGGGCATCAAATCACTCTGCCGTATAGGATTACTTGTTGTGAAAAATTCACCAATTTCAGACATTTTGAAGGTGAGGTAAAGATTTTTTCATTTTACAAAAAAGCAATGCATTTTTTTCTTGTGGTTTTAGATGTAAACACAACCGACTGACTATAGAGCTACATGTAGCTTATGCTACTTACGAGGATAAATAACTTTTCTGATCAGAGCATTCAGAGTGGGGACATTATTAAGAACAAACAGTGAGCTGGCAGTATAGAGAGGTGTGCAGTACAGAGGTGTGCAGTATAGAGAGGTGTGCAGTATAGAGAGAGGTGTGCAGTACAGAGGTGTGCAGTATAGAGAGGTGTGCAGTATAGAGAGGTGTACAGTATAGAGAGAGAGTTGTGCAGTATAGACAGGTGTACAGTATAGAGAGAGGTGTGCAGTATAGAGAGGTGTGCAGTATAGAGAGGTGTGCAGTATAGAGAGGTGCGCAGTATAGAGAGGTGTGCAGTATAGAGAGAGGTGTGCAGTACAGAGGTGTGCAGTATAGAGAGGTGTGCAGTATAGAGAGGTGTACAGTATAGAGAGAGAGTTGTGCAGTATAGACAGGTGTACAGTATAGAGAGAGGTGTGCAGTATAGAGAGGTGTGCAGTATAGAGAGGTGTGCAGTATAGAGAGGTGCGCAGTATAGAGAGGTGTGCAGTATAGAGAGGTGCGCAGTATAGAGAGGTGTGCAGTATAGAGAGAGGTGTGCAGTATAGAGAGAGGTGTGCAGTATAGAGAGGTGCGCAGTATAGAGAGGTGTGCAGTATAGAGAGGTGTGCAGTATAGAGAGGTGTGCAGTATAGAGAGGTGTGCAGTATAGAGAGGTGTGCAGTATAGAGAGGTGTGCAGTATAGAGAGGTGTACACAGGGGGCTTTAAACAAAGTTATTTTCACTTTATCTCTACACATGTGAAATCTCCGTGCTTAAGTGTTAGCCTGTCCATACAGCTTACAGTACTGCCTCTGAATGTCATTGTCATCCCTGAAGTCACTCCTGATTACGTACCCCAGGTATTTGGTCTACATTCAGAAGCTCCACACCAGACAAATATGTCTAAAGTACAGCTTTGGGCAAGTTTATAAAGCTTGCGTGTAAGCATTCGATCATCGTAAGTAGCATAAGCTACATGTAGCTCTATAGTCAGCTGGTTGTGTTTACGTCTAAAACCACAAGAAAAACAAGCATTGCTTTTTTTGTTAAATGAAAAAATCTTTACCTTACCTTCAAAATTTATGAAATTGGTGAATGTTTTTGCTATTAAAACATTCTACAATGCTGTGCGGCCGAGCCGGAAGCTCGGAACTCTTGATGCATGTATATAAGCGGCATCGCTATATAAGCAGCATCGTTATATAAGCGGCATCGCTATATAAGCCACAGGATCCAAATAACTAGAAAAAAGTACAATTTTCTAGTCCGGAGATTACGGAACTTGGAGTTGAATGTGTCTTATGTCTCTGCGGGACAGGCCTGAACGACAGAGAGGGCAGGGGCCGCTGGGAATGGGCTGGCGGAGACCCCGTGAGCTTCACCAACTGGAGGAAGTCACCTCCAAGATCCAAGACGAAAGGGAGTAAAAAGTGTGTCCTGGTGTGGAGACGAGCCAAGTGGCAGATCCGGGACTGCAAGACGAGCCGGAACCACCGCTACATCTGCTCCACCAAGACCTAAAGACTCAAAGACGATGAAACTATCGATAGGAGAGCATGAGGTACAGAGAAAGGACCTGGGATATAGGGGCGGCCATTTTGGACTGTGTGAATGATGGGTAAGGGTTAGACATACGTTTTGACTCTTGTATATATTTATTTTTATATTGTTTTTAATGATTATACAACTATGTCTTTTAATATTTGTTTGTAATTTCCAGATAAAGACTTTTGTTTTGTGGTTTCAGTGTTCTGCCATCTTCTGTGTAAAACTTTAATATATTGTCATGAATTGCGATCGCCATTTTTTCATCTCTTTGAATATAATTAATTTTGTTTGTAGTCTTTGTCAATAATGCTTCAAAAATGTCCATAACCACAAAGTGAGTTGTTTTGTTGTGTCTGGTCTAATTAAAGCTGGGGTACGTAACTTTCAAGCCACAAAAAAAGTGATTCTATACAATTCAATTTGTTTTTGTGTAGCTCAAAATCTCAACTGCTTCAAAGAATTTTACAAAGTTGTCAATTCACCAATTACAGATCGAAAAATCAAACAGGAAATGCAATATTAACAAACACGTAGAGAGAGTGGGAAGACCAATGTCCCGGGAATGTTAATAAATGTTGAGGTTTTTTTTAATTGCATCGGACAGAAACCACTCAAAAACCTAACTAGATTTTCTCTCTATCACTAGTTTTTTTTTTTACTTTGGATTTATTTCTGTCACATTGTTCGATCATCTGAAAAAGAGAGGACTACCCTCACTGGGATCAAGTTTAGAAAAGATCAACATTTTGCACAATGGGAAAAAAAACAGCCACATTTTGGACTTTGTTTGTTCACAATTCTACCCTTTTCTTCTTCTTTCTGTCGAGACAAAAACACATGGGTAACACTTGAGTTTATCCCTCACTAGTTAAGTTATTTAAGTGCTAATAAGTGTGCTAGCTCTTGGTAATAAACCAGAAAGTACTGATATTGGTATTTATTTACACTTATAACACTTATTAGTCCTTATTCTACATCTAACCAACGATCACACTTTACACTGCAAAAGGTGATGAAAAAGAAGTCACAAATTGCTCAGATTTGGCAAAAGGTATCTTAATTTGAACACATTTTGACTGCTTTAAAACAAAGAAGAAAGAAATATGTCCCTTGGAATGAGAAAATATAGCAACTTTTTTGAAATAAGACTAAATACTGTAGCTTCGTCCCATTGGCAAATCTAGTCAGAAAATTTAAAAAAATTATAAATTCAAGCAATATAACCTCAGAATTGCCTCATTTTTTGCAGTGTAGTTTAGCCCTCACGAACCAAAACCTGTGTTATTCATGAGAAAGAAAAGTTAGGTTCCCCAGCTTTAAAACCACCTCATCTCTGTCTGTAAAACTAAACCGTTGGATGTCCCAGATTCCCCTTGATGTGCCCTTCCCAGCATTACGCTATTATCAAGTTTATTCATCCTACAAATTAAGTTTTCAGACAATTTCCTGTTGCCGCTTTGGCCTGGGGCAGAGCTGTTGTTGACAGCTGCACACGGCTACGTTAGCAATGCGATTATCCCCGTCATGTGATCTGCAGAAAGTATGAAAGAGGGCATTTGATTTGGTCCGTTACCAGTGGCTCTGCTCAGACACGCAGCTTCACATCCGCCCTGGTAAGAAAAACATGGCATTTTTTAGTATCGTGTTTGCTTCTACTTTTGCTTGAAATTGGAAATTAAAATTGCTGAAGTATTGGTAGTGTAAAAAAAATATATAGCTTAAATTGTGTGTGTTCTTCTGCCAATGCCACCTCAATAATATCTTTGTCTCTCATTAAAACTAAAAGTGTGTATAGTATTTGGAATTGCTTTGATGCGTATTATGTGGAAATGTCTGTTTTTTGTTTTTTTGTCTATTATTTTCACATAATTCTTACACATGCGGAATATTATCCAATCCTGTGTCAAAAATGATTTATATTTTAAAGTTTTACATCTGTACTAAAGCATAGGCCTTTGTATGTTTTATTCTCAGCCTTTTCCTCATTTTCAGACCTTATGTATTTTTGTATCTTGATGCCAAATACCTAAAATAACACAAATAAACGGAAACAGAACGGTGCGATATTACAGCCGGGTTTTCATGTAAATATCGAATCATTTTCTTTCACTTCACGGCTGAACGATTTTAAAGAAATCTACAATTGCAATTTTCTGGATTAAGATTGTGATTATGATTTGAAGCTGGCATACTTTTCAAGGAGCACGAGGAGAGAACAAACTTGAGGGAAAACTTTTACTATAAGAAATGACAAGAAACTTCTCACTTAAAATCCTATGTTTGAATTTAAATGAGACAAAACCGGGTTTTTTCTTGTATCAGAAAAAAACACCACTTTATTAAATCTCTTATGATCCAGTTTTTGACCTGGGCAGTGATCCTTGTTTTTCTAAGTCTGTTTGATTTAGATATGTTTTATTCACATTTTCTTATTTCCGCACATACACATTTTTAGGGCAGTAAATTCTAAGTCTAAATGTCACTACCATCGGTCTCCTATCCTGATTTCTAACCCGTTCTCAGGACCCTATTTCTAAAGAACAAAATCACCTCCCTCCCCTGATCCTCCAACTCCTGCCGGGAGCTTAAAAGGAAAAGAAGAAAGAAAAAAAAAAAACACTTAAGTCTGTTTTACAGCTCAAAAAACACAGGAATGGACCAATGTATACAATAAGCAACAAGATCATTTGCTGCTTGTAAATGTAAATGTAATCTCAATCATTGCTGTCTTAAGGGTCGGCCTATTTTCACATAAAAGATTTATTTATTACTTTATTTGGTTGAAGGTATATAGGAGGATTTTCCCATTTTTTAGAAAAGAACTGCCCTCTCCACTTTTTGAACAAAACCCTCTGGTCTTATTTGACGTATCACCAGAATGATTGACAATAGTCTTGATGATCCACCCGGAAGTAGAAAATCCTCCTATAGACCTTTAAGTTTATACTGACTGCATGTTGCTAATTCTACTGCTATCATTTCCATGGGACTGGACGGACCACTTCATGAGGACATGTCACAGCAGAAGTATGTGTTAGAATCATAGACTGTAAATATTATCGAACGTAATCACACCTATTTCCGCCGTTCAAACTAATGTTAATGTGCCAGGACTTTCGCTGTCTGTGGGCAGTTTCAAAATGGCCGCGGGGGCTGGAAAATGGTCGGTACTAGATCCTATACGGAATCGGGACGAAACCGGAAGTAACAATCCTACTTTCGAATTAATTTTAGACTAATAAGTCCTAAAGTGGTGACTGGTTAAGTTTTAGGTGTCTGAGTAAGATGGTTAAGGTTAGGGTTAAAGTGATTGTCTGGAGTTTGTCAGAAAGGGAGAGAGAGAGGTGCTTGATTTGAAAAAAACGACGTAAGCTCCCTCCCCCTTCCTTTCTGATTGGTCTACACCTACGTTTCCGTAACACTTTGAAATGTTAATCAGAGAACACATTATACTTATACATTATTAATACACATGCAAGGAGGTTTTCAGTATTATTTGTTAACGTTTTAATGAAAAAAATAATGTTTTTATGCACAAAAAAAGCGATCGCGGCAAACCCGGAACAAGCTATTATCATGAACTGCACATTATAGGACACACCTGCAGAGGATCTGATTATGGATATAGGCTCAGTTTATAAATGATTATGGATATAGGCTCAGTTTATAAATGATTATGGATATAGGCTCAGTTTATAAATGTTATGGATATAGGCTCAGTTTATAAATAATTATGGATATAGGCTCAGTTTATAAATGATTATGGATATAGGCTCAGTTTATAAATGATTATGGATATAGGCTCAGTTTATAAATAATTATGGATATAGGTTCAGTATATAAATGATGCATCGGTTTTATATAGCGCTTTTTTGGACACTCAAAGACGCTTCACATGTGTCATTATTCAGTCTCTACATACACGGTGGTGATAAACTACTAATGTAGCCACAGCTGCCCTGGGGCACACTGACAGAAGCGAGGCAACCAGTCTGTGCCATCGGCCCCTCCGACCACCACCAACCATTCACACACAAGACTCATTCTAGGCAATGGGTGAAGTGTCTTGCCTAAGGACACAACGGCAGTTTGGCACTTTACAGCCGCAGCCGCCCCACTGTGGCTGGTGTTCCCAGAGGTTAAGTGTCTTGCCAAGGACACAACGACAGTAGTCAGTGGGAGTCGATGGTGAAAGTCTTGAGCGGGGCTTGAACCCACAACCTTCTGGCTCAAAGGCCAATGCTCTACCAACTGAGCTACTGCCGCCCAAATGATTATGGATATAGGTTCAGTATATAAATGGGTAACTCAGCGCGGAGGTTCAGAATTCTTTGTTCAGTTTTCATGTAGTTCCAGAGCCTAATAGAGGCTTGATTCGGAGGCTCCGCGAAAACAAACAACTGCGCATGCGCACAGTTGCGGCGCCGATGATTGACAGCCCTTGGCATGACTCGATTGGTTAACTTCGACGGCATCGTGGATTCTGAACTATAGCTAAGAGAAGGGAAGGCGGGACTTACCTGTAATATTAAAATTAATAAAATGACTTATTTTATATTAACATTTAAGGCCAGGAGGTCAATTTAACACATTTCCTAAAATTTGTAATTCATTTAGACTTACAGACTATCACTTTAAGGGTGGGTTGGGGTTATTTTATGGGAATGGCTGGTTAAGTTTAGGCATGAATAGGTAGTTTGTTATATTTAATTCTGCTTCCGTTCCGATTCTGTATATGATCTAGTGCTGACCCTGGAAAATATGAACAAAAAACACATTTGCGCATGCGTCAGCCGGCACTAGCCCCATTCATTTGACAAGTGCCTTCAAAGTTCCACAGTGGCTATACTTGACTGGTCCAAAAGAATACACTCCCTTCAGCATTGACATGTGGAACGTAGCTATGGACCATCTTGTAAATCCGTTCTTGAGAGGTAAGAAGATACATACATTAGCACTGAATAATTCTTATTCCGGGCCCACCCCCACTGGCCCGGGGTGGTATTGCAAGTATGTCAGCGCACGTCATTTTGGACATTTTTGAGCCGGGACTGGAGCCCCCACTGGTTAAAATACTAGTTTCTCTGTGTCTTTTTCAGGCTTGGATCATGCCGTAATCATCTGACTGGTGTTGGGACATGGACCACAACAGCTCGGGGCCACAGCCCAGTTACCAGTGGCTGTCCTTCGCCTACCAGAGCCTCACAGAGATCCCCTATGAGGCCATCCTGACCCAGACCCAGACCCTGGAGGTGCTGGACCTGAGCTACAACCTGCTGCAGGAGTATCCTTTGGTCCTTCAATTCAATTTATTTTTGTATGGCCCTGACCCTGAGTCACAACAGTAGATACAAAACACAGATCAGAGAATCAAACAGTTCAAACTCAAGAAAAAAACACATGGAGCCACTGGTTCCCACAGACGGAGGGGCTGTGGATCCAGGAAGGTTTCAAACAAGGCCGCACATCCCAGTAGCCTGGACTAGCGAGCGTTGATTGAAAAAGTGCAAAACGTGAAAACAGAGAACAATCCGCACCGCTATGTTACTCTCATGAAATAGATCCAGGACCAGGCTCCAGGACGAGGTCTGAGGCTCCAGGACGAGGTCTGAGGCCACAGGACGAGGTCTGAGGCCCCAGGACGAGGACTGAGGCCCCAGGACGAGGACTGAGGCTGGGCTGAGGCCTTGTCTTAATTTTTTTGACTTTAATTTTCTTCTCAAATGAAAGAGACTGTCAGACCAATATAAAATTACCGTAATTGAAAGTAAGAGATTCTAATTAAAATCTGCTATTTTGGTTTGGTCCAAAATGTCATTGTTAAAATGTTGATGGTTTTTGTGGCTTGTTCACTTTTTCTCTGAGCAGGAGTTACTTCAAACTCTATAGAAGCTTTTCAGAGCTGTTTGGAAATGTAGTGTATTTGATATAACAGAAAATAATGAGATGAAAAAAATAAAATGAATAAATAAAACACAATAAATACATAACGTTCAATAACGAATAATACATAAATACACTCACACACACATACACATACACATACATACATACATACCATAGACTGTATATAATAACGGACAGAGTCACGCCTATCTCCGCCGTTCATAGGAGTTGGCCATGAACAGTGCTTTCATGGAGCAATCCAAGATGGCCGCGAGTGGTCCCGCCCACAAGAAAATTGTGAAAAAACGCATCCGCGCATTCGTCAGCCGGCGCAGCTCCATTCATTTGAACGAGAGACTTCAAAAATTCACCGCGAGTAAACTATAGTGGACCAAAAAAATTCACCCCCCTCAGCATTGACACACATGTGGAACAGAGCTTTGGGCCAAGAGCCAACTTTTGGTCCTTCCTGTAAAGACGTTTTCCAGAGGTCTGCCAATTAGCATTGGCTAATTCTTCTTCTGGGTCCACCCCCATCGGCCCGGGGTGGTATTGCAAGCATGTCAGCGCACGTCATTTTGGCCACTTTTGAGCTACACACTTACACATACACACATACTCACTTACAAATACACATACACATATACATACACATACTGTACATACATATACTCTACATACACACACATACACACACACACACACACACACACACACACACACTACAGTCCCAGTCTGTGTGAAAGGTCCTTCACTGAGTCCCTATTGGAACCCGGCTCTCCTGAGTCGCCTGGAGAAGCTGAGTACTCTGGTCCTGGACTGTAACTGCTACACGTCCCACGTCAAGTTCCCGTTCATGGACACGCTAACCACTCTGTGCATCAACAAGAACAACATCAACAACCTGCCGCTGTTCGTGGATGAGGTCAAGAAGAAGTTTCCCAGCATCAGGTAAGAACCCAGACCATGGAGACCCAGACCCAGTCTTATAGTCCAGCTAAAGACGGTCTCAACCCAGCCGAAGAGGGGCACGGCCGCGTCCTGACCAGTCGGAGCGGAGTCGGAGCGGAGTCGGAGCGGAGTCGGAGCGGAGTCGGAGCGGGAGAACAACGAGCAGAGTTTGTGGCACTTAAGTGTGGATTTAAAGAAAAGCGATGGATTTAACAAGAAAAAAAGTTTAGGATGACAAGGGACACAAAAATCCCCTACAAAATCCGACCTTTGTGAAAGCTGTAGGTTCTCTGTCAGGTTCTCTGTCAGCTGAGGTCGAGCTGTTTTAGTTTACATTGGGGAAAATGTCTGGGTACCCGGTCTTGGTCTTCCCTCTCCACCTGAGCAAACAATGCCCCCCACCACTGGGCGCCTGAATTGTGTTGGACTTTTGCCCTCGTCCAGAGTGGGAGAGAGCATTTGTTTATTCCTGGAGTTAATAATTTGTCCCGTTTTGAAAGCTGGTCATCTCTATGATTCCTGAGTGCATATTCCTTTGTCCTTGGGGCTTTTCCCCGTGCACCTTCTTCAGAGGGCCTATTTTCAAAATCATTAGTATACAACATTTTAATTATGCAACAGTGTCTATGTGTCAGAGAGAATGTGTGTGTGTGTGTGTGTCAGAGAGAGTGTGTAATACTCAAAGTGCACAAGTTTAAAACAGATAACATTGACTAAAGACATATTCTACCCTTCTCTAGGTCCCGGATGGAGATGTGGAAATGCTGAGAGGGCGTCCGGTTCTTTCCGTCCCACACGTAGAAGACAAAGTGGTCGTGTGGGTCCTGGTGGTTCAGTCCGGTGTGACGGTACCGCAGGAGGTTCAGGTCCACCGCCTCCTGGGAGCAGCTCTTTCCAGCCCTCAGAGTCTCCCAGTCGTGTTTGACCTAAAACAGAGGTTGAAAAATAGCACTCAGAGAAGTTTTAACTACAAAAAGTGACACATTTTGCTGAATTTATCTTAATTTGAGCACATTTTGACTGCCTTAAAACAAGATTGCCAATGGGACAAAGCAAAATGATCTGGTTTTAAAAAGACACAAGAGATGTCTCCTTTGGACTGAGAAAATAAATAAAAAGTTTTTGAATTAAGAGTAAATGCCTTTGTCCCATTGGTATATAAAACAGTATAGAATATGCTCAAATTAATTAAAAAAACACTCAATTCAAGCAATTATAGACATTTTGAGTGTCCTATAGTGTGTAGTGTCCAACTGTGATGTGTGACTAAAGAAACATTAACAGGCTTTGATTTACCGTAACTATAGAAAAATATGTTTGACACACTGTTCAGATCAAAAATTGCACTTTGAAATTCATGAGTAGAAACTCTTTGAATCTTGTGCATTTCTAAAGCTGGGGCACGAAACTTTCAGACGACAAAAAAAATGTGTGACTAATTTCTTGCTTTCAAAGTAGCTTGGTTCTATCACATGACCTTTAAAGATATTTATGGACATTTATGAGCATCTTAATGTTGTATTTTGTCTATGTTTGTATATACATAAATCTCTATCTCTCTCTCACACACACACACATACCCCCTCTCTCTCTCTCTCTCTCTCACACACACACACACATACCCCCTCTCTCTCTCTCTCTCTCTCTCTCTCACACACACACACATACCCCCTCTCTCTCTCTCTCTCTCTCTCTCTCTCACACACACACATACCCCCCCTCTCTCCTCTCTCTCTCTCTCTCACACACACACACACACATTCCCACTCTCTCTCTCTCACACACACATACCCCCCCTCTCTCTCTCACACACACATACCCCCTCTGTCTCTCTCTTTCTCTCTCTCTCTCTCTCACACACACACATTCCCACTCTCTCTCTCTCTCTCTCTCACACACACACACACAAACCCACTCTCTCTCTCACACACACACACACATTCCCACTCTCTCTCTCTCACACACACATACCCCCTCTCTCTCTCTCTCTCTCTCACACACACACACATTCCCACTCTCTCTCTCTCTCTCTCTCACACACACACACACATTCCCACTCTCTCTCTCACACACACACACACATTCCCACTCTCTCTCTCTCTCACACACACCCTCTCTCTCTCTCTCTCTCTCTCACACACACACACACACATCCCCCCTCTCTCTCTGTCTCTCTCACGCACACACACTCCCACACACTCTCTCTGGCAGGTCTGTATATTTAAATGTATTTTTTATCACTTGTAATGTGCTATATAAATTAATTGGATTGAATCAACTAATATGGACATTGGTCATCTGCTCCCCATGTGTTTGCTATTATTTCATTTCTGTGTGTTTGATTCTCTGATCTGTTTTTGTAGAATCGACGACTGTGTAAAGTCCTCCGAGACGACAAACCTTGAGTTGCAGTAGTCCTTGATTGGGGAGACTTTCAAAGACAAATATAACTTCGGAGGCGGGAGTGTCGTCGTCCTGAGCGAACAGCACGACGCTGGATATGAGTCTGGTCTCTCCGGCCTCCAGCTCCAGACCATTGTTCCTGGAGAAAGTAAGGAAAGTATCTATTTATTCAAACTTTTGTGTTTCATACCATTTAAAAAAAACAAGATACAGAAGCACAATCTGAAAAAAGGGTTGGACGAAGCAAATGTATATTAGGCTCAAACTTCTCAAACAGACACACACACACACACACACACACACAGACAGACAGAAACACAGACACACACAGACTCATACAGAACACACACAAAAAACCCTCATACACACATAAAATAATCATACACACACATAAAACACACACACACACACACACTGACACATTCAGACACAGACACACACACACACACACACACACACACAGACTGACACATTCAGACACAGACACCCACACACACACAGCTGTATAGTGTACAAATGGAGACCTTATGATTTTTGGCTCCTGATCATTCACCGGCAGCACTTTGACCATCACTTGTTTGTGGATCTTGTGCTTCCCGTCCGTCAGCTCGATGGTGAAACTGTCTTCCAAATATTCTGAGTCATCGTGCAAATACATAATCCCTGCAAACAACACACAATTATTAAAGCTGGGGGACTTAGATTTAAAACCACAAACCGTTGAAATCTGTAATAAAATTCTCGCTCTTTCTTTCCCCCTTCCTCTGGTCTCGCTCTCTGGTCTCTCGCTCTCTGGTCTCTCGCTCTCTGGTCTCTCGCTCTCTGGTCTCTCGCTCTCTGGTCTCTCGCTCTCTGGTCTCTCGCTCTCTGGTCTCTCGCTCTCTGGTCTCTCGCTCTCTGGTCTCTCGCTCTCTGGTCTCTCGCTCTCTGGTCTTCTCGCTCTCTGGTCTCTCGCTCTCTGGTCTCTCGCTCTCTGGTCTCTCGCTCTCTGGTCTCTCGCTCTCTGGTCTCTCGCTCTCTGGTCTCTCGCTCTCTGGTCTGGTCTCTCGCTCTCTGGTCTCTCGCTCTCTGGTCTCTCGCTCTCTGGTCTCTCGCTCTCTGGTCTCTCGCTCTCTGGTCTCTCGCTCTCTGGTCTCTCGCTCTCTGGTCTCGCTCTCTGGTCTCGCTCTCTGGTCTCGCTCTCTGGTCTCGCTCTCTGGTCTCGCTCTCTGGTCTCGCTCTCTGGTCTCGCTCTCTGGTCTCGCTCTCTGGTCTCTCGCTCTCTGGTCTCTCGCTCTCTGGTCTCTCGCTCTCTGGTCTCTCGCTCTCTGGTCTCTCGCTCTCTGGTCTCTCGCTCTCTGGTCTCTCGCTCTCTGGTCTCTCGCTCTCTGGTCTCTCGCTCTCTGGTCTCTCGCTCTCTGGTCTCTCGCTCTCTGGTCTCTCGCTCTCTGGTCTCTCGCTCTCTGGTCTCTCGCTCTCTGGTCTCTCGCTCTCTGGTCTCTCGCTCTCTGGTCTCTCGCTCTCTGGTCTCTCGCTCTCTGGTCTCTCGCTCTCTGGTCTCTCGCTCTCTGGTCTCTCGCTCTCTGGTCTCTCGCTCTCTGGTCTCGCTCTCTGGTCTCGCTCTCTGGTCTCGCTCTCTGGTCTCGCTCTCTGGTCTCGCTCTCTGGTCTCGCTCTCTGGTCTCGCTCTCTGGTCTCGCTCTCTGGTCTCGCTCTCTGGTCTCGCTCTCTGGTCTCTCTCTCTGGTCTCTCTCTCTGGTCACTCTCTGTGGTCACTCTCTGTGGTCACTCTCTGTGGTCTCTCTGTGGTCACTCTCTGTGGTCTCTCTCTGGTCTCTCTCTCTGGTCTCTCTCTCTGGTCTCTCTATCTGGTCACTCTCTGTGGTCACTCTCTGTGGTCACTCTCTGTGGTCTCTCTGTGGTCACTCTCTGTGGTCTCTCTCTCTGGTCTCTCTCTCTGGTCTCTCTCTCTGGTCTCTCTATCTGGTCACTCTCTGTGGTCACTCTCTGTGGTCACTCTCTGTGGTCACTCTCTGTGGTCACTCTCTGGTCTCTCTCTCTGGTTTCTCTCTGTTTTTTCTCTGGTCTCTCTCTCTGGTCTCTCTTCCTACCAAACCCCTGAGCACCAGAAGTACCATGTGTGAGCTCAGCCATGGTAAAGTCCACCACTTGCTCCTGAAGGTAGGTGTCTCCTCTCCCATGTCCCGCTCCGTCTCTGCCCTGTTGCATGATGGTCCCGTGTTGAGGCGGAGAGACCACAGTAAAGACCAGAACATTCTTTGGGACGTCCATATCTTCCGCATCCAACACCGAGGAGTCCAACGCGTTCATTTTGCCCTCAGTCACCTAGGCAACGAAGGACAGGCAGCATTCAAAGACCAATCAAACCAGAGGATTTGAGAGTAATTCACCTTTTTATTTCTACAAAGTCAGATTATTGTGACTCGAACTGCGGTCTGGACAAGTAGGAGAGAGCACATCACCCCTGTGCTGGCCTCACTTCACTGGCTTCAAGTCACATTCAGGGGTGATGCTTGTTTTTTAAAGTTTTAAATGGTTTAGTTTAGCCCCTGTATATCTGACAGAACTGTTATCTCTGTGTGCTCCTGCTGGTCTCTCTCTCTCTTTCTGGTCTCTGCCTGGTCTGACAGGGCTGTTATCTCTAATGACTGTCTATCTGGTCTCTGTCTCTGGCCTCTCTCTGGCCTCTTTCTGATCTCTGACAGAACCGTTATCTGGTCTCTCTCTCTGGTCTCCAATCTTTATCTCGCTCTCAAGTCTCTCTCTGGTCTCTTTCTCTGGTTTCTCTCTCTGGTCTCTCTCTCTCTCTGGTCTCTCTCTCTAGACCAGACAGACAGAACCGTTATCGCCTGTCAGATCAGTATCGGCCTGATAACCAGCTGTTTTTGATTCTGCCCAGGACTTGTGTTATTCCGTTCACTGCAAACGGCAGAAGAAAATGAATGTGAATCTGAACCTAAATGTGCTCCACAAATAAAGCTAACATTGACATTGACAAAGCGTTCATAGCCATCACATTACAATCCACATACGGTGATGTTCCGGGCCGTGAACTCCGGAGCTTCGTCGTTCGTGGGGTTTATAATGATGTAAAACGGCACATGGGCAGAAGCGTGTGTTTCGTCCGAAACACTCAACATGAAGTGGTCGGTTGTGGGCTCCATCCTCGCGTGTTTGGACTGTACATAGTTCACGTTACCGTCCACGATGTCCTTGTACAGAAACGAAGCTGGAAACACAAACTGGACTTTAGCATTGAGCTGGTCCCGTGCACAGTCTCCATAGAAGAATTTTTGGGAACACTTAAGCTTATCCCTTACTCATTAACAGCTAATTAAGTGCTAAATAGTGTATAATGTATGTTAATCAGTGATGGGAATAACGGCGTTACTAGTAACGGCGTTACTAACGCCGTTACTTTTTTCAGTAACGAGTAATCTAACTAATTACTTTGACAGTAACTATAACGCCGTTATCATTTCCGACATCCCGTTACTGCGCGTTACTCAAGACGCACAATGAACGTGTTGTCATGAGAGAAGGGAGGATGAGAAAACCTCTCAGCAATTATACCGCGGTAAAGAGGTCCGGCTTTCCAGAACCAGCGGTAAAGAGGTCCGCACGTAAAAAGAGGGGTGTCACATTATGCTGTTACTTACGGTAACACAGGAAAGCGAAGCCGCGGGGATGGGCCGCCACAATGCATTTTTTAACATGATTCTTTTTTTATACATAAAAAACCTTAGAAAAAGCTTTCACTGCACACTTGTTCACTGTGAAGCCCTCTATTATTGTGCAAAGTCACATTCACTTTTACTGTGGAAATTCCAAGAAAATAGGGGTCAAAGTGTGCAATAATGATCCAAAATGCACTTTTTAACCTGGATTTTAAAAAAAAGTAAAAAACCTTAGAAAAAGCTTTCACTGCACACTTGTTCACTGTGATGCCCTCTACTATTGTGCAATGTAAACATTAGTTGATAAGTAAAATGAGAATGTTAGGGTGGTAATAGCTTATAACTTATGAATGTTCTATGTTTATTTATGTCATTTTTTCCATATAAACTAAAACTAAAAATGCAAAAAGATTTGCCCAATGCCTATATAGTCTGTCTGTACTATAGGAACATAAAGTATTAAAGTGATCGTCCGCAGTTTGTCAGAAAAAGAGAGAGAGAGGTACTTGATTTGAAAGAAACGACGCAAGCTCCCTCCCCCTTCCTTTCTGATTGGTCTACGCTCGCGTTTCCTTAACACTTATAAATGTTAATTAGAGAACACATTATACATATACATCATTAATACACATGCACGGAGGATTTCAGAATGATTTGTTAGCGTTTTTGAAAAAAATAAATAAATTATGTACAAAAGAAGAGGTCGCGGCAAACCCGGGACAAGCTATTATCATGAATTGAACATTATAGGACACATCTGCAGAGGACCTGATTATGGATATAGGTTCAGTATATATCTGATTATGGATATAGGTTCAGTATATATGTGACTATGGATATAGGTTCAGTATATATATGATTATGGATATAGGTTCAGTATATATATGGGTACCTCAGCGCGGATGTTCAGAATTCTTTTTTCAGTTTTCTTGATTCGGAGGCTCCGCGAAAACAAACAACTGAGCATGAGCAGCTACGAGCATCAGCGCAGATGATTGACAGCTCTTGGCATGACTCGATTGGTTAACCTCGATGGCATCGTGGATTCTGAGCTATAGCTTAGAGAAGGGAAGGTGGGACTTGCCCGTAAAATTAGAAATAATAAAATGACTTATTTCATATCAACATTTAAGGCCAGGAGGTCAATTTAACACCTACACATTTTTTACACATTTTCCTAAAATGTGTAATTCATTTAGAGTTGCATACTATCACTTTAAGTCCCAGTCGTCAATTGAAAAAAAATGAAAGGAGCGACTTGGAAGTCCATCGTAATATCAAATTCACCCAAATAAATGTGTGCAGGATTCTTTCAGATCTTTTGGCACAGTTGAAGGGTCATCAATTCTGGACTATTCATAGAAAACTAAGAAATGCATTATTCATCATTTTTCAAAATACTCATGTATTTTGTATTCATTTTTCCTTTTTTCCAGATACAATGCAGCATGTGCCAAAAATGGTACCATGAGGAGTGCTTGGCCTTAAACCCATGTGAGCGGAAAAAAGCAAAACAGCCAGAAACGTTATGGCATTGCTGCCTGTGTCCAAAAAAATCATTGAGATAACCTGGCATCTCAACCTTTTGTTTTTTATTTTCTTACTGTCACGGTTACTGGTTTCTCAAATCCGTTCATAAAAAAAGATTGGACACAAATATTGGTGTTTTTTTTTTTTTTCTGAGAGTGTACAGTGAAAGTTTAGAATATTTATTTTCAGAGTAGTAGAGGACATCACAGTGAACAAGTGTGCAGTGAAAGCTTTTTCTAAGGTTTTTTACTTTTTTTAAGAATCCAGGTTAAAAAGTGCATTTTGGATCATTTTTGCACACTTTGACCCCTATTTTCTTGGAATTTCCAATGTAAAAGTGAATGTGACTGCACAATAGTAGAGGGCATCACAGTGAACAAGTGTGCAGTGAAAGCTTTTTCTAAGGTTTTTTACTTTTTTTTAAAATCCAGGTTAAAAAGTGCATTTTGGATCATTTTTGCACACTTTGACCCCCCTTTTCTTGGAATTTCTACAGTAAAAGTGAATGTGACTTTGCACAATAGTAGAGGGCATCACAGTGAACAAGTGTGTAGTGAAAGCTTTTTCTAAGGTTTTTTACTTTTTTTTAAAATCCAGGTTAAAAAGTGCATTTTGGATCATTATTGCACACTTTGACCCCTTTTTCTTGGAATTTCTACTGTAAAAGTGAATGTGACTTTGCACAATAATAGAGGGCATCACAGTGAACAAGTGTGCAGTGAAAGCTTTTTCTAAGGTTTTTTACTTTTTTTTCAAAATCCAGGTTAAAAAGTGGATTTTGGATCATTTTTAAACACTTTGACCCCTATTTTCTTGGAATTTCCACAGTAAAAGTGAATGTGACTTTGCACAATAGTAGAGGGCATCACAGTGAACAAGTGTGCAGTGAAAGCTTTTTCTAAGGTTTTTTACTTTTTTTTAAAATCCAGGTTAAAAAGTGCATTTTGGATCATTATTGCACACTTTGACCCCCCTTTTCTTGGAATTTCTACAGTAAAAGTGAATGTGACTTTGCACAATAGTAGAGGGCATCACAGTGAACAAGTGTGTAGTGAAAGCTTTTTCTAAGGTTTTTTACTTTTTTTAAAAATCCAGGTTAAAAAGTGCATTTTGGATCATTATTGCACACTTTGACCCCTATTTTCTAGGAATTTCTACAGTAAAAGTGAATGTGACTTTGCACAAATAGTAGAGGGCATCACAGTGAACAAGTGTGCAGTGAAAGCTTTTTCTAAGGTTTTTTACTTTTTTTTAAAAATCCAGGTTAAAAAGTGCATTTTGGATCATTTTTAAACACTTTGACCCCTACTTTCTTGGAATTTCTACAGTAAAAGTGAATGTGACTTTGCACAATAAAAGAGGGCATCACAGTGAACAAGTGTGCAGTGAAAGCTTTTTCTAAGGTTTTTTACTTTTTTTTAAAATCCAGGTTAAAAAGTGCATTTTGGATCATTATTGCACACTTTGACCCCTATTTTCTTGGAATTTCCACAGTAAAAGTGAATGTGACTTTGCACAATAGTAGAGGGCATCACAGTGAACAAGTGTGCAGTGAAAGCTTTTTCTAAGGTTTTTTACATTTTTTTCAAAATCCAGGTTAAAAAGTGCATTTTGGATCATTATTGCACACTTTGACCCCTATTTTCTAGGAATTTCCACAGTAAAAGTGAATGTGACTTTGCACAATAGTAGAGGGCATCACAGTGAACAAGTGTGCAGTGAAAGCTTTTTCTAAGGTTTTTTACTTTTTTTAAGAATCCAGGTTAAAAAGTGCATTTTGGATCATTATTGCACACTTTGACCCCCATTTTCTTGGAATTTCTACAGTAAAAGTGAATGTGACTTTGCACAATAATAGAGGGCATCACAGTGAACAAGTGTGCAGTGAAAGCTTTTTCTAAGGTTTTTTATTTAAAAAAAATATAAACATGTTAAAAAATGCATTGTGGCGGCTGATCCTCGCGGCTTCTCTTTTCTGTGTTACCGTAAGTAACAGCATAAAGCGGCAACCCGCTAGAAATGTGCGGGCCTCTTTACTGTTGACTCCGAAAAGCCGGACCTCTTTACCGCGGTGCAATTATTGGCTGATGTAAATCATATTTCCTTTACAATCTACATGTCTACAGTTGAGAGGATGGCTCATAAATTGTGTTTTTGAAACAAATATGGGTCTTAGTCGCGCTCAACCACGGCTTGTATCACCGTGAGGTCAGCCACAGAGGAGCGCATGTGAGCTCAGAAGTCGGCTGCATACAATTCCATCGATAAGCTCCTTGCTCTTCCTGGTTTATCTGCTAAGGGCTGCAACAGGTTTGGCTAACATACATATAACACATTTTTACATAATCTAAAATGCACATAGGGTAATTTTTCAATTACTATAGGAATGATAAGAAAGAGAGGTGAAGTGTAAGACGGTTGATTTTAGAAATTGGATGCAGCCGGCTGCAGCAAAACAGAGGAGTTTACGGAGGACACACGCGTTTTGTTTTACTTTTTAAAACTCATTGGACTCATTTCCAAATGGAGGATTACATATCTACGCTCAAACCATTCACTGGATTTAAACAAGGAACTGGTCTGAACCGAAGTGGACTGTGCAGGTCATTTATAAGGTATAGCTATAAGGTAAGACCCATAACTCATAGTTTTGCGTTTTGTATGAACAAACAATGCGGGCATAAAACATATTTTGCTGTAGCCAAACAAATTGTCCACTTGATTTATATGATGTATATGTTCATCTGATTGGACTGAAGTCAGTGCTTCACCAGCCTCACCGCTCGTCACCGGTGTTTCCACATTCACAGTGGCGGGCTTTACAGCACAGACAGAGATGAAGAGTGAACAGGACTTCAGCAGCAAAACAGCCTTTTCTAGATGGAAATATTGGCACTGTTAAAGGTAAAAATGCGCACGTCGGGTGCACATTATGTTCCAGAACAAAACGAAAAAGTAACGCAATAGTTACTTTTACTGGTAACTAGTTACTTTTATAGTGGAGTAACTCCGTTAGTAACTCAGTTACTTTTTGGGAGAAGTAACTAATAACTATAACTAATTACTTTTTCAAAGTAACGTGCCCAACACTGATGTTAATTAGCTCATAATTGGTATTTATTAGGCACTTATTAGTCCTTATTCTACATGGCCTTATTCAAGATCTTTTTAACAACTAACTGCCACTTTCCATGTGGCTTAAGGTTAGGGTATATTAGTGAATTATTAAGTGAATTCTAATCTAAAGGGTCACTACATTTATTTATTTTTTGTTTCTTTATTGTGTTGTTTTTCCTATGTTTACATTTGTTATGTTACATACAGTACACAACATAGAAAATGTCTTTATCTTTTTGATTATCCTTTCCCCAACTATTTCTCTAGTATGACATCACATATATTCAGTAAAAATAATAAAAGTGATGGAAGTGATACATTACAACATTTAACAACATTTGTGGACATTGGTCATCGGCCCCATATGGACCAATTCTTGAGTTAGAACAAATTCTCTGATCTGTGTTGCCGAATCGACAGCTTTGTAAAGTCCTCTGAGAAACTGCTGTTGTGAATCAGAGCTATATAATATAAAGGGCTATATAATAAAAATATATTGAATTGAATTGAATTGAATATATTATCTAACTTACTCATCCCCTTTAACATTTACTGTCATTAGAACTCTTCAGCTCCAGAGAATAACTATAAATTCACCAATACTGATGCCCATGTTGCTCTTCTCGAAGCCAGGACTGGGTAAGACATTTTCTATGAACCCAAACTGAGGAGAGGAGACCAGGCTGACCACCAACTTCTCTATCGGAGAATCTGCGTCAGACACTTTCAGATGAGAGGGTGAAATGGAGGCTGATCCCCCTTCATCCACGACAAAGATGTCTCCTGAAAAACACAACACAAACAGAGACATGGACTTTGATTACTTCATAGATTAGATTTTCTAGATCAGGGGTCTCCAGCCTGTAGCTCGGGAGCCACTAGTAGTTCGCCGCCCCCTTCCAGGTAGCTCACCAAGGATTAAGAAATGAACAAATCAAATAGTATACTTCAGATTGTATGTCATTATCATTATTTAGTATTGTAAATGCACTTATAGTAATACCCAATTAGTAAGTAATACCCATCAGGCTTGATCACACCAATATATCACCATTTTATTCCCAGAGCCGCTTAAAGGAGTAGCTCTCTGCCTTTATCGTCCCAAGAAAGTAGCTCTCTGGTTGAGATTAAACTAAATAGATTAAAAGTGAGGTGAACAATCCATGTTGTAAGTGCCAATGGAAAAAGTTTAGTTTAAATACAATAAAATTGGGATTATCTGGCGCACACCTGTGGTCAGAGTGGGAGGCTGGTTGTCCACAGGGAACACAGTGATGTGGAGGTCATACACAGGGAGACTGTCTCGGATCAGAGCGGGGCCTCCAGTCCTGCCCCTGCCCTCGCAGCACACGGAGGTCTCGGTTTCACCGTCAGAAACCACGAAGGTGATGGTGTCTCGTCGAGATGTGAGTCCAATCTCAAGCCCTAAACACAGTCATGGATTCAGTTATTTCCCCCATACACGTAACTTAGAGATTGGCCGATATATTTTGCTTTGGAAATGGCAGCTATTGGCCTCAATGCCATGTTAGCCAAGGCAAGGCAAGTGTTTTGTAGATTACTCATGGACAAGTTAACAAAACCAGAAAAGAAACATTAAAATTACACATAAATAATCAAACATAGTGCAAGAAGGTCCTGGGTTCAAATCCGGTTCGGAACAGGTCCTTTCTGAGAGGAGTTTAAATGTTCTCCCTGTGTCTGCGTAGGTGTCCTCCGGGTGCTACGGTTTCCCCTACCACTAAAAACATGTATAATAGGTCTGAATATAATGAGTGAGTGTATTTTCGGCGTCTCGCCACGTGTGTGAAAGGAAAACTGATTTATGAACATTGTAAAGCGCTTTGGGTGACCTTTGTCTGTAAAATGCACTATATAAATAAAGATTACTTACTTAAATTAAAAGAGAAGATAAAAGGGCCTCCAAACCTGTATTGAATTATTTGTGTAGGTTATTTTTCTTATGTAAGGCAAGGCAAGGCAAGTATATTTGTATAGCACAATTCATACACAAGGCAACTCAAAGTGCTGAACAAAACAAGAAAGCATTAAAATCATAAATAATCACAGAACATTAAAAAGATAAAACAATGAAAGATAAAAATATATAATCCCTCAGTTGTATGCACAGCTAAACAGAACTGTCTTTAACCTGGTTTTAAACATTGTCAGAGAGGAGGCCTGTCTCATATGGTTAGAGGCCTGTATACTAGGGCCTCTAACCATATGCCTCACTTTAAAGCCAATTTCTTCTGGATAAGAACCACATGATTTATTTTAATGAACCCAAAACGCTGTAATAATTCATAATATTGTAGATTAATGTAAAAAGTAAACCCACAAAAATTGCTTGGGTGAGTTCTTAACACTACTTCAACCAGTTTTATTCTGACTTTGAATGGCCATTTAAATCAGCCGACAGAACTTCAATCCCAGAGACCTATGTGGGTCCATCTCTTGGCTGTGTGTGTGTGTGTCTGTGTGTGTATGCTCACCGGTGTGTCTGTATACGACGGCCCCCGCGGTGACGTCGGCCTGAGTGAAGCGGTCCACCACGCCTCCTCTCCGCAGCACCACGCCGTGATAGGGCTGGCGGGCGATGAGGAAGGCCAGGCTGCTGTTGTCGCTGTCTGCGTCTGTGGCGTGGAGGTGCTCTGCGGTGATGGCGGCCTCCTCTCCCTCGCCACAGCTCAGTTCAGAGTTCAGACCGGCTGTCAGCACCGGAACCTCGTCGTTGACCGGGGACACCTGGAGACGAGCAAGAGGAAAGACTATACATGTCCAGATTTTGATACAATTTCCCGTTATGCTCTGACCACACTCACCTTTACAGGGAGAACGAAGTTGACCGAGTTGATGCCGTCTGTGCCGATGAGCTCGATGTTGTCCTCCAGTGTTTCGGAGCCGTCGTGAATGTACCTGAAACAACAAAACCGAGGACTGTCACTACGGCAACACTGTACCACATAGAGACAGTATTCTCAGCACTATTTACTCGTATTATTTAAGACTTCTAAACAGAAATAGTCTCGGTAAAGTCAAATATTGTGAAGAAATCAGGCCACAAGCTGTGTTCATCTCATTAGAAAACAGGTAAGGCCCCAAAAAGTCACTTATTGACTCTTTGGCCTAAAAGTGAACTGGCTGTTTCGCTGGTCTCTCTCTCTCTCTCTCTAGTCCCTCTCTCTTTCTTTCTAGTCTCTCTCTCTCTCTAGTTTCTCTCTGCTCTCCCCCTATCTGCTCTCTTTCTAGAGTCTCTCTCTCTCTAGTCCCTCTCTCTTTCTTTCTAGTCTCTCTCTCTCTCTAGTTTCTCTCTGCTCTCCCCCTATCTGCTCTCTTTCTAGAGTCTCTCTCTCTCTCTCTCTCTCTCTAGTCTCTCTCTGCTCTCTCTCTGTCTGCTCTCTTTCTTGTGTGTGTGTCTCTCTCTCTTTCTGGCCTGTCTCTCTGGTCTCTTTCTCGCTCTGTTCTCCCTCTAAGTCCCTCTCCCTGGTGTCCCTCTCTGCTTTCTCCATCCTCCCTCTCTCTCCTCCCTCTCTCTCTCTGCTCCCTCTCTTCATATCTCTGAGACTCAAACCTGATCTTGATGTTGTCCAGGTCCTGCACAGTGAAGCTCTCCCCTGGTTGTAGATGAGAACCAGAAATCTGTAGAAGACCATGTAGTGGCTCTCTCTGCAGCTTCACAGTTAGAGCCTCTTTGTCCGAGTCCTGGTCGGACAGCAGCAGGTGTCGGGGTCCCAGCCAACACTCCCCTCCCTCATCAACAGACAGGGTCGCCATGAAAACCTGCCATATACACACACACACACACACGTCTATTTGGTCACACAAGATCAAACCTGGGCAAAGTACTCGGGGGCTATATACGGCCCGATTCACGTTTCTATGTGACCTTTTTCCATCCGCAAACTTCATACTGTCTCCCCCTATTTAAATGAATAGGAATCACTATGAATGTTTGCTGCTCCATGAGAGCTCCAATGGTTTGTTACACCTCATAATCTCGTAATCTTAGTCTATAAAAAGTCATAAAAAAATATTCATATGTCCACAACCAAGCTTTAGTCCAGCTTTGGTTCAATCCAAGCAAAAATGTAAGTCTAAAGACAACTAAAATATATAACTCAAATGTAATAATATAGCCGCAGATGCTAAAGATAAGCTAACACACCATACACAAAGATAAGATTGGATTTCTTAAGGTTTCCCTCACCTTCTCTTCTGGAAATAACTACTTAATAGAAGTAGTTAACACTCAAATACGTTGTTTCAAATGTAATTAAATAGTAATCACATTTTAACAAGTCTGTCCTTCCACAATGTATCATTCATAGATAATAATCGGCCACCTCTGCACTGGAAAAATGAGAGGTTTTTGTGGCACATGGTGTGGTTTACCTGAGGCGGCTGGTTGTCCACAGGTAAAACAGTGACGTTGAAGCAGATCCCAGTTACGGTTTTTCCCAGTTTGTTGGTCACAGACAGAATGAACTGAATGTATTGAGGCTCAGGCCCGATGTCCACGATGGGAGGCATGTAGGCCACTTTCATGAAGCTGACGGCATGCTGAACGTGGAAGCAGAAAAGGATTAAAGCCAAAGAATTGTACCATTTAACCACTGATATTTGAATATAAGGGTTTACTTCTTTGTTGTTTCTACATTTTGGATTTGCTCAAAAAAGGTTATATTATTGTGTATAGAAGATGAAGGTATTACATGTCTGCAACTGGCAAGAAATATTGGCAGAAGGGTCTAAGGACAGTGATGATCCAGAACATTTATGCACATTAATTAACATTCAAAAAGGGCAATTTTTTGTTGTAGTTCTACGTCACCTGTGTGAAGAGCCTGAGCACCGGAGCACTGGCGTCTTTGGTGAATTTGGGAATACTGTCCACCAGAAACAGGCGTCCTGCGTCCACACTCGGGCTGTGAAATGTTTATTGATTAATTGCAAGTAATCAAAATAACAGTGGCTCTCTGGTGCTTCTGGTGCCGTTGTGTCCTTAGGCAAGACACCTCACCAACATTGCCTAGTATGAGTCTTGTGTGTGTGTGAATGCTTGGTGGTGGTTAGAGAGGCCGATGGCACAGACTGGATTCCTCGCATAAGTCAATCTGCCCCAGGGCAACTGTAGTAGCTTATCATCACTGTGTGTGGAGTGAAATAATAATGTCAAGTGAAGATATAAATATGCTACATTAAAATGAATGATGTATAAAACTGGGCTCGTTATTGCAACAGTATGAAGAGGTCAGTCATTTTCTCCTTGGAAAACTTTATCTGAAGATCAAAGCAAAGTATTGGCGATGTTGCAGATACTGCGAGGAACAGATGTATTTTGGTATAAAACCATGTGAACACTGAAAACTTGTCTTGGTGCTGATGCTGTGAACCAAAGAAAAACACAAGACCTCGGCATCTTTTGTCATTTTCGCAAACACAGACACACACACGCGCACAGACAGACACACACACAGACACACAAACAAACACACACACGCACGCACACAGACACCATCACAGACACACAGACAAACACACACACACGCACACAGACAAACACACACACGCACATAGACACACACACACAGACACAGTAAAAACACACACAGACAAACACGCACACACAGACACACACAAACACACACACGCACACACAGACACACACACAGACACACACATACACGTTTTTGTTACCTGGTGGGTCCCTTTGACAGGGCCGTTCAGAATGGGACCCATAGACATAATCTTTTTTTACCAAGACTTTAAGTAATACAAAACAGTCAATAGAAACCAAACAACTATTTTAAAGGAATTTTATTTTAGATTTTGTTTTCGAATTGCAGTGATTCTATTTTTGACATAGAATTTAATGCCACTCCATGTCCGATGTCTAAGGTCATCTGGTGAGGCATTAATGCAGGCCAGGCAGTGAGACTTCCCAGGGACCTTTCCAGTCTGTATGAAAGGTGTCATGGTCTTCTCCACAGCCTTCACCTCAGATGCAGACCATGGCTTTCTTACACGTTCTAGGGAGAGAAATAAAAATATATTAGCAATATACACTCCCAGGGTGAGGACCAAGCAGCCTGGCTGTAATCCCCCACCTGGTACACTTACCAGAAGGGGCACTGCCACTACCATGGGGTGCATCTGGATGAATGGTTGAAGGTTCTCCGCTTGAAGTTTCTTTTAGCCCGTCCGTTTGTGAGAGGATCTCTACTGCTCTCCCTGTCGCACAGAAAATAAAAATACAAGTGGCCTTTAGGGGAAAAAAATCATACATATTTTAATAATATCAAGAATTACCTTCAGGCTCAATTTGTATCTGGTCGAGGCTCTTTCCTTCGAATTCCGTCACTCTTCCCTGCTCCATGGCCATCAACACTTTGCTGATTTTGGCCAGCTCCAGTGTCCCCTCTGGTAGTCTGTAATATTGCCTGTGGATGCGAATGTCATGGCCGAGGAAGTTGGCAAGTATGTCCATCTCATTCTCTTTCATATTGAGAACTGTAGACATAGTAGCTATGTGCTTTCTAAGTTTGGTTGAGGATAGCATCTCTGGATGCACCGCACCACATTCTTTGGCTACCTGGCGTAGGGAGTCTGATCCCCTGATGTGGGTGTCTGCGCCCGGGCGGGAAAAGAAGTATGGGTTATGGTCAGAGATGGAACAGGCCCTTCTGTTCTCCACCAGCACCTCCATCGAAGCAATCATTTCAGGAGTCAAAAGAACCGGCACTTTCCGACTTCTTTTCCCTTTAATTTCAATGCGTTGAAAATGCTGACACAGCTTTTTCTCAAGTTGGGACAGTCCCAGAGCAATGTCAGAATGGATCCCAGTCTTACTTCTTAAGGTAAAGGCTGTCAGTGGCATCTTTGAAACCTCACCTTCCCTTCTTCGATTGAAAATGATGACCTCACAAAGAGTCAAAACTGCCAGTTTAGACCAATGCTTAGACGTTGGCTCACTTATTAGGGTTTGCACATATTCAGGTCGACATACCTCAATATGTGCATGCATGGCTCTAACGTCCTCAGTCAGAGGGAGCAGGTCCGGAGTGTTCCACTTGGCTTGCCGGAGGGTCTGTAGGGCAGCAGAAGAAACACAGACGTCCCACCTCTTCTCAAAAAGCAGCCGGCTTCGTTGGAGGTTTTTAATAAATAGTTCATCAACACAATGCTCCATTTTTGAGTCACATTCAAGAATATCTGCTAGCTTTCTGAGGCTATGGCCGAGTTTGAGGGCCAAGGATGGAGTCTTGTATTGATTTGTTTCCTCATCATATCCAGCCACAGACCTGACTGCATCAATCACATGGTTAAAGTTGGAAGGAATAAAGAAATCCTTAATTGTTTTCAGTTTCCCTGCGGTTTTTGCTTCGTTAATTAACCTACCGACTTCTCTCATTTTCTGCCTAATGTAATCATGCTTTGTCTTATCATGCCCGTGTTTTAAGTACAGGTGCTCTCCGAGTCTCAGAATCCCCTTTTCTGCTTTGACAACACCCGTGACCTCATCCTGATGCATTGCCGAAATTAAAGACCACAGCTTTTTGCTGATGCCCTCCGGTACAGGCTGGGCTAGGGAGCAGAGGGACTGGACCCTACTTCTACCTGGTTTAGCCTGGGCATCTTTCTGTGAAAGCCGGCACCTGGCCACATGCCTCCACAGCGACTTTCGCTTAAGCAATGCCCCACAGTCTATACAGTGCAAAAACTCACTGGATTTAACTGGGCAATTTGGCTGTTTAGCTGGGACTAAAGTTCCAATGCCGGCCTTTAAAACCTCAAAATTGTGCTCACGGTTTCCACTATTCCTGATCAAATCAAACTGAAGTTTACGTGCTTTAGATTTCACAGGTAGAGCCAATGCTCTGGCTACGTCACTTTCATTTCCATGTTTTCTAGTCAAATGACGGGACATTTTGTGGCAGGACATTGAACAGTAGAGGCAGAAGTGTCTCTTGCTGTATACTCGCCCCCCATTTTTCTTCTTTTGCAGCTGCATGATAACAATCTTATTTGCCTTTGGTTCGTCACTTTCCGAGTCTTGAAGAAAAGTGTTTTTGATTTTTCTTTTTCCATACTTTTTTACAGGTTTCTTCTTGACAGTTAAATCGTCAGAATCTGAGTCGACTTCATCAATTAGGGACTCTTGACTAAGCTGCACAAACAACAAATAATTTGTAATCATTCTATATAACAATTTGAAGTCATGACTTGTAGTCAGCACTTACCAGTGGTTTGTAAGCGTGCGCTTCAGTGTGCTCCTCCATGATTTCTTGCAGCCTAATGAACCACACACTTGCACCTTTTTCTAGCCTGACACCTGATTTCCTCTGTTGTGCTGCTCCATGATTGGCTCCAGCCTGCTGGACTGAAATTGCCCCAGTGTGCCCCTCCTTGATATCCCGCAACCCACCACCAGGGTTCCGACACATAACACACTTTTTTCAGGAAAGTAAACCTCCAGGGGTCCTTTCCATATTTTTACAGAGACTGCATAAGGACCGTTAGAAAAGCATTACCCATTGATTATTAAGCTTGGACCAGTGGGGTCCGGTGTTCGGGCCCCACCACGTAAAACCAGTCCCCATGACGTGAGTGGAATCTCAGGTTATGGAACCCACCAGGAGTTGAAAACAAGTGCACACACACAGACAAACACACACACACACAGACACGCACACACACACACACAGACAAACACACGCACACACAGACAAACACACACACGCACACAGACACACGCACACGGACTGCACTCACGTGTGGGGGCCGCTGTAGAAGGGCGGGGTGGTGACTGTGAACGTCAGCTCGCTGTCTGGAGAATCTTGATCCAGGAAGTGCAGCTGCTGTCGCGTGATGTGGACCACGTCTGTCTCCTTGACGACCAGACAGCGGCTGGTACCAGGAACCTCTTTAGGCGGCTGGTGAGGCACGCGCTCAACATGGACCATCACCACCTGCAGGACCAGAGCAAGCTTTAACACTAGGACTCCCGGAATTCTGGAACTACTAGAACTACCATAAGAGCCGTCATTTTGACAGCTCCCAATAAAATCATTGGAGTTGGAGTCACCAAAAAAGTAATTTCTAAGGTTTTTTTTAACCTTTACTCATTTAACCTTAAACAATAAACTGCTACCAAATGCTAACGAAAAAACAGTGTTGCAATGGTAACTAACAACAGTCAACACCAGTCCAGGACCAGTCCAAAACCAGTCTTGAACCAGTCCTGGACAAGTCTGAAACCAGTCCAGGACCAGTCCTGGACAAGTTTAAAACTAGTCCAGAACCAGTCCAAAGCCAATCCAAAACCAGTACCTTGGAGAAATAGGACTTTGACTGCCCTAAAATGTTGGATGCCCAGCGACCAAAAATGGCGACCTTATTTTAGTTAAAGGTGGAACTACTCACATTCCAAAAATAAAAGATAATTTAATATAACAAATAATGGCACAGAAATAAACTCCATGTAAAACAAAGTGTCAAAGTAAGAATCAGTAATGTCAGTGTTACCTACTTGAGGCTCTGACAGGTTCGGAGGGTCGTGGAAGTCGGACAACACCACCTCAAAGGAGTCGTCGAACACGTCATGTCCCAAGTGTCTGTAGTAAACCAGGGACTGAGACAGGTCCTTCTGCAGGAAGTGGTTCACTGCATAACCTGCACACAACACATAGGGCAAAGTAATGATTTATCTCAAAATGTACAAAAGTCATTCACTGAGAGGGAAGGAGGAGATGTGTCGAGAGAAAAATAACATGTCATATCACCAATGGTACAGGGGAAGGAGAAACTTTAGCCGTTTAGAAAAATTAATAAATTTTGAGTTTTTGAATTTTTATATAAATGAAGGAGTAGAATGAGAATGGGAAAAGAATGAAAAGAATCTACATGGAAATACTGTCTTATGTTAAAAGAAAAAAGGGAAACAATACTGAAATTTGCAATAGATAAACTGCAATTTAAAATTTTTCAATAATAAAAAACTAAGAAAACCATTTTTTGGTCCAAGGTCAGATTTTATCATTTACATTTGGCCCTCAACCAAAGTGAGTTTGGCAATGGAAATCTGGTAAAATCAAAATGGACACAACTATATCAAAAGCCTTATAGAGAGATTGCCAAAGCTACTATGACACATGTCCCTCTGCGGACCGGTTTGACACCCCTCTGAGGACCGGTTTGATACCCCTCTGAGGACCGGTTTGACACCCCTCTGAGGACCGGTTTGATACCCCTCTGAGGACCGGTTTGACACCCCTCTGAGGACCGGTTTGACACCCCTCTGAGGACCGGTTTGACACCCCTGCCCTGAGCTGAGCACCTGTGAGTCCAGCCCCTGGTCTCTTCAGCACCTCCCCCGCCTGTGGAGCCCTGGTGATGTTGAAGAGGATGTAGTCGTGGCTGGAGTCCATGTCGGCTGCCTGCAGAGTAGACCCTGGGAGCAGCGCCGTCTGGCCCTCAGGGACCTCCAGCAGCATGTTGGTGATGAGGAAGGGGGCGCTGTCGTCCTTGGGCAGGATCTTGATGGGGAACTTGTGGCGGGTCTGGTGCAGGCCGTCTGTGATGCGCAGAATGATGAAGTCTTTGGTGGAGTCGCTGTCGTCGTGGTGATAATAGACCACGCCCTCTTTGATGTCTTGGACAGTAAACATGAAGCCCTTCCCACCTGAAAAAGAGACATTGGATGGAGTTGTTTTTTGCAGATGCGGAAGGGTCTAAGGAAAGTAGTGATGATCCAGACATTCAACAACATTGCACTTCTTGTGTTTGAAATGTTTGATTCTCTGATCTGTGTTGGCAACAGCTTTTAAAGTCCTTCGAGAAAACTACTGTTGTGATTTAGGGCTATACAAAATGAATGTAATTGAATTGAAAACAATAAAATATAAGAAAACAAACGCTTGAATCAACTGTTTTTAAAAAATAGCACCAACTGGAAACCACTCCCCCCGTCCTCCCCTCTCCACCAAACCAAACATCCAGTATTTTCTTTTCTTTGTCACAATGTGAAAAGTGGATGGCAAAAGTTAAATTGGCATTTTCTGTTCAGTCATTTTAGGTTTTAGAAAATCTGATACCTCAGGTGCGCGCACTTGAGAGAAACAGGAAGGGGGTGAAGGGGGTAAACGCATCCCATTGGTTTGTTAGGAATGAACAAATCCCATTGGTTTATTTTTATTGGTATGCTCCAAAATATTTTATTCATTTTTGTAGACTACAGGCATCTGGTCAATTCCATTACTATTTGAAAACATCTGATAACTTGTATACTTTTAGGGTTTTCCCACAATATTTAAATAATGCGTTTGGAAAAATTCCCCGAATGTATCTTTAAGGAACAGTTTATGTGAAATCTAAATTGGCAGGAAACAGACTAAACCTCAGTGGTCGTTGTCACAGTTGTACCCAGATAATCTCACGATGGAGAAATGTAAACGCACCTCTGACAGTGAGACGTCCGTGCTGCAGTCCGTCCACAGTGATCAGACGGACAGCTTTCAGGTTGTTGTTGTCCACGATCTGCAGCTGCTCCCACGTAATGGGACGAGACTGACCCTCCAGCAAACTCAGACCTGAGAACAACATGTACAGTCAATCACAAATCTGACAAATAACTAAGATAAGATAAGATAAAGTTTATTGATCTCACAGTGGAGAAATGTGCATGTCACATTTAGATAGAATCACTACTACTATGAAATCCAACTGTGCAGAGATGGGGATCTACACATACTGTGGCAGATAGTGAAGAAAATGTAAAATAAATATCAATGTATGGTATATGTCCCGCCCTCCAAAAAATAAATTTACAGAAATATGCCTCCTTAATTCTCCCATTCTCAGGCCAAAACTTTCTATTCTATATATCAACGATTAATGTTCTGTTTCACCAAAACTCAAATCATTTCTATTTGCAGATGACACTTAAATGTGAATACTAGTAATAGAGCTGTTTTGAGAGTGAGGAACTAGTTACTGTAGATGGATTCATTGCATGGTTACACCACATAGTTTTATGGTTTCAAAGTTAGGTACCGCAGCTTTAAAACAAGATTAAAAGTGAATTCAGATTTTCAGATAAAGTTACTGCTGATTTTTTGTAAGAAACATTGATTACCCATATTCCAGGAGACTCTCGGTGCATTGGTTTCTGCGTTCCGGACAGACATGTGGACAATGATGGGTGGGCTTCTGTCGAAATAGAAATCGTGCACTTCAAACTCCACCTGCGGAACACAATGTGAAGCTTTTAGCATCACACAATTTTAAGATAGAGATACACTGGCTTTCAAATGTACTTAAACTTTAGCCCATTTTGTCATAATACAACCACAGAATCATAGTTTCATAATTACGGTATTTTTGCAAGCCACTGCAAATATTTATCTATATTTAGTTTTAGCATGATAAAGAAGCAAATATAAAATCTCTAGCCTTAGTATAATAAAGAAATCCCTAGCTTTAGCATAATAAAGAAGCAAGTATTACATCTCTAGCTTTAGCATGGAAAAATACTTCTTTAAGCATAACAAAGAAGCAAAATAATAAAACTTGCCTCATAGTTGCGGCGCTGGGTGTGGGAGGAGTTTGGCGGCTGGTAGGCGATCAGCATGTCGTTGAGGTCCAGCCAGGTGAAGGAGGAGACGGGCCGGGTGTGGTCGGACAGGTGGGTGATGAAGCCTTCTGTGGGGGCGGAGGTGATGTTGAAGACCAGCAGCTGTTTGGGGGTCTCCTCGTCCTCCGCGTCCAGGGTCCCGGTGGAGAGAGGGGTCAGGATGAACTGGTCCACCTCCAGGATGAACATGGACATGAAGGAGGCTTTGGGAGGCTGGTTTGGCATCGCTCCCAGAACCCGCACGGGGATCCAGGCGTGTTCTGTCTGCAGGTAACATTACATAAACAGAGGAAGATTAGGTTCTCTTTTTGACAGTTTAACCCTTTTGTAGTTTACTCAACCATTTGGTAGATCACCTTTTGAGTCACCTTTACCATCAAACTGCATCTTACCCATTTGGTAAAGGGCTATAATTATAATAATAATAAAAAAATAGGGGTTCAAGAAAACAAAAAGCATAAAAACTATTTGTTTTGCGGCATTTGTGCTTCTATATTTTAGAAAATCCCAAAAAATTGCCTATATCAAGGAACACAAATTGTAGAAATGGTTTTGTTAAGACCGAGGCACCTAACTTTATTCTTAAACTTCTTTATAAAAACATTGAAAACAAAGTTGGCCATTCACAACTGCACGTTTATGTTAACAATAGATAGATAGAGACATAGATAGTAAAAACAAATAAATACACAATTCTAAAAATAGAAAAAATACAATAAATACACTGCAAAAGAGAAGCATACGCTCTACAGCAAAAATATACTGCATTACTAAAAATACTCACTTTACAACTATGGGGAAAAAACAGGAGCCAGCCATAAATGTAACATCAGTCAGTGTAGTATTTTTGTGACAATGACCGGTACCAGTAAAGCTATATTGGGTCAATCACAGCCAAAGCAGAGTACCTTGTAGATGCTGTTGCTGCGTGTGTCTTTGAGGTCCAGTCTGATGTGAATGTAGTCCACGTCCGGAGAGGGAGGGTCTGTGTGCTGGTACCTCAGACCCAGGACCAGGAACTCATCACAGGGAACTTTGGAGAACTTGACCAGCTTCAGACCCTTCAGACAGTCCTCGGATGTGCACATGGCTTTCTCTTTATTATCTACAGAATGAACACACAACGATTACGTATTAAGCATGTTACAGTAGCAGAATATCTAAGCCCCATTTCCACCAGTCATATGTGGGTCTGCTCTGCTCTGCTCTGCTCTGCTCTGCTCTGCTCTGCTCTGCTCTGCTCTGCTCTGCTCTGCTCTGCTCTGCTCTGCTCTGCTCTGCTCTGCTCTGCTCTGCTCTGCTCTGCTCTGCTCTACTCTACTCTACTCTACTCTACTCTACTCTACTCTACTCTACTCTACTCTACTCTACTCTACTCTACTCTACTCTATTTTACTCTACTTTACTCAACTTAGACTTTAGTATCTGGTACCATACCCTAGAAACCTACCCACAACAAACCAGTATCCAGGGAATTTCCTTGGTAACCATGGCTTCTCGCAACACTCTCACCAATCACTGTCAGTTAGAACATTTTGGTACCAGCTTGGCCTGGATAGAACCAGGACCAAAAAGGATTTTAAAAAGTACCAGGAACCAGTTAAACAGGACAGGTAGAAACGCTCCCAATCCGGGTAGTGTAGAGCCGAGTAGAAGAGAGTAGAAAAGAGTAAAGTAGAGTAGGGCCCAGTAGAGTTGAGTCGAGTTAGAGTAGGCCTGGTGGAAACGGAGCTGTAGCCTGGCAGTGACCTAGCTGCTGGCGTAGGTGGATGAAGCTCTCGGGCTCGTCTCCTCTCTTGCTGGCCTCCTGCAGTTCTCCGGTGACCAGTCGTCCGTGCGCCGGCAGCTGGTCCTGGTGATGGTTCAAGTGGACGCTACACTCCAGACTGGACCTCCGCTCGTAATGAAAAGACACAACGTTTCCATCCAGAGGGTCGGAGAGGCTGTAGAACTCAGGGACCTCCAGGGACTTGGGGCCCAGGCGGATGATGCTGCATTCGGGTTCGATGATGTCCACGTTGAGGGTGAAGACCTCCATGTGCGTGTGGGAGTCTGTGAATCTGCAACAACAACGTTCTGATGAATAGAAGTAGAGTAGAGTAGAGTAGAGTAGAGAAGAGAGGCAAAGCAAGGTACAAGTAGAGCAGAGCAGAGTAGAGTAGAGCAGGGCCAAGTAGAGTTGAGCAGAGTAGAGTAAGACCCAGTAGAGTAGAGTAGAGTAATAATAATAATAATCACACTTATATAGCGCGTTTTGGACACTCAAAGACACTTAAAAAACATATAAAGATAAACATTGAAGAACAAAAAGGCCACAGCTGAAACAGTGGGTTTTAAGAAGTGATTAAGAGAGTAGAGTAGAGTAGAGTAGAGTAGAGTAGAGTAGAGTAGAGTAGAGTAGAGTAGAGAAGAGTAGAGTATAACCAAGTAGAGTAGAGTAGAGTGGTCTAAGCAAAACAAAGTTAAAACATGTTTGTGGAGTTGGTACCGGTAGAGTCTGAGTCTGACGGTGTCTTTCTTCAGCAGTGGGCAGCCGTAGTGGACATACTTCACCTCATCAGGAAGATAGTGGCAATCAAACACCTGGAGAAGACATTTGCTTTGTTTAGTCTTGTTAAAACACAGACATACATTTATTTATTTTTTACTTTTTTTCTGTGTATTTTTTCTGGTGTCACTACTTTAACAGCTTACAACATTTAACTTTAACATTTAACTTTTACTTCTCATTTTTAAACCCAAATATCTACTCGACTTCGTTCTTGTACCGCTAGAAACACTAAGTACTAAGTATTGGAGATTTATTTTAATTAAATTAAATTCAACTATACATTATTAGAGACTCTAGGTCCAATTTAAAACATACAGACATATTAATACATATTAGTCATATTTTCTATTATAACAAAAAATGTGTTTCTATTGGCAAAATCAAAAAATTGTAGTAGGAAGACATTGATAATATCTAATAAGAATCTGGCCGTGAAAGCCAGACTTTTGAATGTTAATGATTCGTTCATAATATTTTCTCTCCCAGACCAGTCAATTTGATGACTTTTTTGGAGCAGTAATTACTCAGCGTTAGTACCTTTTCAGTCCCTGTATTGTTTGTGAGCTGCTGGGCCACATACAAACCACTAGAGGGCAGTGCAGTGACCAATGTGCAGACACAGGTTTGATTTGGTTTGTAACTCAGTAATTTATAATTTATGCTTTGACACTCATATCTTTATTATCATTGGACATGTTTGTTGTATTGTTCTGCATGGATTTAGTAAATGACCATATCACACTGTCTGTCCGTCTTATATGTGTTTCACCACCTGATTACGTTTCATTCTAAGTGATTTATGATGTAAGAAAGTTGGATATCCGACAAGAAGTAGATCTGTCGACACTGAGCCATTAGGAAGGAGACTGTGGTCTGGCTGCCAAACAAACGAGAAACTCTCCAGATGCATCGGTAATAAGATATGACATAAAAGGTTTTAAAAGAGCCTCTCTCAGCTCACTTCATCTATCCTTTCGCCTCCTTAGTTTGCCCATTGGAATGAAGCACAGTTAAAGCTGAGGTACCTAACTTTCAAGCTGAACTTTGTCAATAAAGATACTAGTTTTTCTCCCTCAAAATAGTCCTCTGCCATGTCATATCTCTAGGTCAGATTCAGACTAGCCTGGCCTTATTCATCCGTACACTCCGGTCGATTATCATTTCCCTGCATGTAACGTCTGGGTCTGGTCCCTGCGTTTGCAATTACAATCGGTTGAATTCCATCCGACCAATCAGCGAGCGCGGGAGGCGGGTGTTGTAGTTAGCTGTGGGTGACGTCAAGAGTTTGCGTCGAACGGGCCCTTGTGAAATGTCCTGTCTTTGTGATAGTGAACTGGAATACTCAGGCGCAGTCATGTTATGTGGCCTGTGCTAACTCAAAGTACAGTATCATTGAGATTCAGAAATAGAAACTGCAATGATTAAAGAAACCACATAGAGACATTGGTCCATAAGGGGCAGATGACCATGACCATGTCCATAAATGTTGATAAAGTAAAATAAATGTGGTTGAATGTTGAGTAGGGCTGAAACAACTAGACGGTTAATCGACGACTAATCAATTATTGAAATAGTCGACAACTATTTTAGTAATCGATTAATCGTTTTCTGGTTCACACGGACTCAAACAGAGCAAAAATGACATGAAAATGTAGTATTTTTGATTAAAACCGACTTTGTTTTTATAATTTCATGAATATCTGTCTGTCTCATCCAATCAGATAGCAGAATTAGCACAAAGAGCCTGTTACAAACATTTACTTTAAGTTTACGCCATCAATACGTCCTCGAGTGTTGCCACTTACATATTGCCACAAAATATTTTTTTTCTACACAATTCACAGCCAAGCGATTACTCGATTAATCGTAAAAATAATCGATAGATTAATCGATTACAAAATAATCGTTAGTTGCAGCTCTAATGTTGAGTGTCCTGGATCATCACCACTGTCTCTTAAACCCTCCAGCATCAACAGGTAGAAACTCAACAACAACAAAACCACACTTGGACAGCCCTGATCTAAGGACACTTTCACCACATCATCACTTATCATAGAGTTGTAAGTAAGTAAGTAAGTAAGTAAGTTTTTATTTATATACCGCCTTTTCACTGCAGATCTGAGTCTCAAAGCGGTTTACAATTGTTAATTATGGGCATTTGTCTCTCACTCCACACAGAGATGGGAGTGGGTTCGCCAGTACAGGAGGCGCATGCTAGAACTATTGGACATATTTTTAGTGGTAGGGGAAACCGGAGCACCCGGAGGAAACCTACGCAGACACGGGGAGAACATGCAAACTCCACTCAGAAAGGCCCTGGTCCGGCCGGGATTTGAACCCAGGACCTTCTTGCTGAGAGGCGAGAGTGCTATCCACTGTGGCTGAGTTGTCAGATGGTGTGGTCTCGGTGGTGGTCTGAGGTCTGACCTGAGGCTGCAGGTTCCCCACGCGCTGGGTTATGGGCTCGTTCTGCACCACCTCCACTTTACACGCGTCTTTGTGGCGAGGGATGTGGAACTGCAGGTCTGTGTCCTGGAGGAAGGCCGACTGACCCCTCGTCACCTTCAGCCTCTTGTTGGTTTTAACCAGAGAGGCCAGAGTGGACGAGGTGAGGCCCAGGAGGTGGAGGAGGAGGAGGGGGAGCAGGGTCCAGGCCAGAGATTGTCCTGTCGAGAACATCTTCACAAAGCCGCTCCGAATCCAGAGCTTTTCAGGGAGAGATGGGGGCGTTTTTATCCCTACGCATTCTCCTCTTTGTGTGCACCTCGTAAACGAAATCCTGTAAGAATGAAAAACAACTGTTTACATTTAGACAGTTTTAGAATCAAGGACCTATACCTACAGATTGCTTGCTTGCTTTGTTAGATTTTAAACTTAATTCTTGCTTCTTTAATATGCTAGATTAGAGATTGTATTTTATTTTAGTATAAAGTTATTGTTCATTTATCTTGTGCTGTGTGCTCCTTGTTCCTAAAGACCAAGGTTGAGACAAATAAACTGCAGAATTTAGCAATAATTGCCAATATTACTGACATATTCCACTCTCTCTCAGCTAAAAGATTTTTGTATCACAAAGAAATCAGCTAAAGATTTCATACGATGGCAAAGACAATATAAACACTGAGAATAGACACATATTGAGAACCAGCCAAGCTACCTGCAAACTTGATTTAATAAAGATAAAATTAATTTAATTTAACATAGACAGACAGATACTTTATTGATTCCCATTGGAGAGATTAAAATACAGTTACTAATAATAGTACTTATGTTTCGTTGTGACGTTCACTTTTGAACGCGCTGGAAAACGGCAGCAGGTCCTAAGTAGCTCTGAAACAGTTGTTGTTTTGTGCTGCAGTACAGTGTTCATGGTTTTACACTGGTTCAGGCCGGAGCAGAGAGGATTCATGGTGCAAACCAAGTGGATCAGATGAAAATCCATTTGAGGAGTGCTAACTTTTTGAAAAATGCTAATGAAGTCTTCAGCATTTTACTTTGGACTAGAGCAGAGAAAAATCTCTGAACCAAGCAGCTACTCCACCTTGTGACCCGTCCTGCTCCACCTAGAGGCTACTCCACCTCTGCTGCTGTGACCCGTCCTGCTCCACCCAGAGGCTACTCCACCTCTGCTGCTGTGACCCGTCCTGCTCCACCCAGAGGCTACTCCACCTCTGCTGCTGTGACCCGTCCTGCTCCACCCAGAGGCTACTCCACTCTGCTGTTGTGACCTGAAGGGCTGTTGTTGATTTTTACTATCTAACCAGATTACCCTGCCTTTCGTGTTATAGCAAGACCAGGCTAATTTTCAACTAAATGTCATATGTAACTACTTTTCATTTAAAACAAGAAAAGAAGAGCAGAATTTGTCATTGTAATTGATTTCAATGACAAGTTCTGCTTTTCTCTTTCATTCTAACCCTTCAGGCACAAATCCATTGGGTTCAGTGGGGGGAGATAAAAGCACATATTGTTGTTTCTGCCTAACTCTTCATACGTGTGTAGTTTTGCTGTTTTAAATTAAACACGCTATTTATACATGTGCTCTCCGGATGTTGACAGTGGTTGTCATGATTGCTACACTGTTACATTTCAGTCCAAAAAAAAACACTACTTTTCTACAGACAGATCTATAAAATTGCTCTTAAATCTATGGACTAAACCCACGCTGGTGGGTTGTGAGGACCGGCAACTCGTAAAACAGTTCATTAGCGACTCATTAACCGCCACAAGAGGAATCATGGGAGTTCTGAAATGGCCTCGAGGCGTTCGGACCTCATTGGGAGAGACCGTTTGTTTCTCCTCTCAACTTGACAGGAAATATTTGCTCATGAAAAACAAACGCAGGCCCTTTTCCCTGAAGCGAAATGAGCCTTTTCCTGTTCCCCACTGACCCCTGGCTTAAAAGATTCACCCCAATCATGTCTTCTGCTACAGCTGCGGAAGTCCCAGAGAGTAAGAAAGTACCGCGAGAAAGTAGCCAATAGTACTTCCAGGACCATAGGCGCACTTGTATATAAGCAAAATTACCTACATTTTAAAAGTAAAGAATTTTTGTCCATATATAACCCGCGCTGGAGTATAAGCCGCAGGTTTTTGAACTGCACGATATGATTTAATGATAGAGTTTTTTGCAGTTTAACCGTTCGCTTCCATGACTCATTCATCTTATTCTATTTTGACAATAAACAAGTGTCCTAAAGCTGGTAAAATGTCATAAATTCAAAAATAACAAGTCCACAACCTGCACTACAACTACAACTTTGCACTACTTAAGTCACTTTGTAAAATTCTACAAAAAATACCATTATTGCGAACATCTCTACTTAGCAGGTTTTCCCGACGTTTCGTCCTAAATCCCAAAAACTTTTTCAAGGGGACGAAACGTTGGGAAAACCTGCTAAGAAGTACAGATGATGGGTGAGAAACCTTCCTTTGCTTTGACTAATCCTTACACATTATTGCTAACGCTAATAACATGCTAATTTCCTGTTATTCACATATTTCTGGTCTTTTACACACCCCGAGTGATATTATTGATACCAAATGTAACTTGTACATTTATATGCTGTAAGATCACTAAAATTTTATCTTGTCTTGTCTTAACTTATAAACGCCATCATGACAAAAATACACAGATTAGCCTCATCGCTGTATAAGCCGCAGGTCAAAGAACTGGACAAAAGTAGTGGCCTAAAGTCTGTAAATGTTGGTATTTGGTCTTGTGTGATCTGCAGGCCAGAGTCTGTCCGTGATCCTTCCAGTTCTCCTCCACATCCTCTCTGCTTGTTGTGTTTTGAGTTGTCATTCCTCAGTGGGACGAAGAGCCAGACCTCACAGAGAGCGGCGTGTAATCAGGATGTGTGCCGTGTGCGTGTCGGAGCTCGCAGAGGTGAACAATGCTTGGGTCTGAGCTGCTCTTCAGATGCTGTTGTAGAAGCAAAAGACAGGAATCTGACGGTGGGAGCTCATCCCGGTGCTGACAGGAGGTCAAACCGACGTGTTCAGAGGTTTGTTCAGCTGTCAAACCAACGGATCGTCTCTGTTAGTGAAGATGGAGCTGGAGATTTTAGTTTGAATACAACTACACTGACAAAGCAATGGTTAGAAGTAGAAATATCATACCTGAATAGATAGAAAAGTCACTACCATTGTACCTTTCTTTACCCAAAGTCTCACTGGGATTGCAAACTCCAGTATTCAGAAAGACCGGGTGGGGGAGGCTGTCATGGGGGACTATTGTACAAACCGGAGCACCCAGAGGAAACCTACTCAGACACAGGGAGAACTTGCAGACTCCACACAGAAAGGCCTGGAGGTGGAATAGACCCAGGACCTTCTCGCTGTGAATTGCTAACCACTGCGCCACCGCAACTTCTGTTCAGGTTCTTTAAGATATACAGCGTATTCACATGAATTATATCAGTTATCTGTGTCCCCCACGAAAAAGTTGGGTCTGTACCTCAACCCCAGCATACATAATACAGCAGCATACTGTGTTTACCTGCATTAGTTCCCTCCTTGTGATTGTTTTAGTACGACCAATGGGAGTCGCTCTCTGCCTTTTCTGTTTCGCAAAAGTCTCCAATCGGAAAAACGTAGGAGACCCCAACAAATACATAGCTACACCTCAATAAATGCAACAACACAATTCATGGGAGGAAACGTAAAACTTATCTAACCGGCAAAATGTTTAATGTCATAGTTTTCATCATTTAAAGACAAAAACATTTAAGATTTTGGTCGAAGGTTAAGAGAAACACAAAACTGTTAGAAAAGCCCCTAATTTTTCCCGGTCTGGATCCTCTTTCTGTTTTCTATAGTTTCGTGTTACATCCGTTCCCATCAATGCACCTTTATCTCAAAACATTGAATCCAGGTATAAGAGCGAGGCTAAAATAACCACAGACCTCACCCTGAAATAACCTTCCAGATGCAGAGGTTTATGTTTCCTCACAGAGATAATCCTTCACCTGGAGCTCAGCGTCTGTTGAGCCGGAGCCAGAAGTTCTAATAACAGGCCCCTATGTTTCTGCAGGAACCCACTAAACCCACGGCAGAGAAAGACCTGCTTCTCAACTTATTTGAAGTGGACAATTTATATAATAATAATAATAATACATTTTATTTATACAGCACCTTTCTGGATACTCTGTAATAGTCTGTAATATTATGACTATTTAAGATTCACAATATTGATCTTGTACAATAGAAAACCAATGCAAAATGTAGGTAATTATGTATATATTTTGGTTACATGTTGGATCAAGATTTGTGTCAACGTATTGTAAATACTACTTATATCAGAAACATGATTGTGTTAATTTGTATAACAGATATTTACAGCACACAGGTCAATGTGAGCTTAACATGTTTATTGTTATGAATTATTATCAATTATAATGATAAGTTTGTGTAAGCTCTCAGTCGTTCAGGGATTATTCAAAACAAAGGAAGGTTGCTCACCCATCTTAATCCAAAGAACTTTCTCAAGGGAATTAAAGCTCAGTCGCGAGTTGGAGATTTAATCTAGGTTTATGGGTGAGCAACCTTCCTTTGTTATTCATTATTATGATTATTCGTTATTATTTATGATAGTAATAATGCTTTGTTTTTATACAGCGCGTTTTGGACACTTCACATTCATTATTTACATTGGTGATAAGTTACTACTGTAGCGAGGCAATTAGTTTATCCCATCAGCCCCTCCGATCACCACCAACCCTTCACACACACTGCATTATAATGTGGCCGAAGTATCTTGACACTTTACAGCCGCAGTCGCCCCACTGTGGCACTTGGGGTTCCTAGAGGTCTTCCATCACAGCAGTAACCAGGCCCTGCTTAGCTCCAGAGGTCTGACAAGATCTGGCTTTCCCCTGCAGAACCTCGAACGTGGTTCATCAAAACTGTGCCACAAATGGATCCCAATTTTATATGATTTAAAGATCGCGATTATCGGAATCTGAATAATATGAATTATGAAACAGTCTCCAATAATGTGGTAGGAACAGTACGAGAGGCTTAAGGATATAAACACATCTTTCACTGAGATGGGATAAATAATATGCAGTTAACTACATTTAGAGATAAAAACACTGCTTTTCGTCATACCAGCTATTTTGATTAGTTTTTAATAAAGATAAGGTCATTGAGGATTGATGAATATTTCTGTAAATGGA